TTAGCTTCACAACAGGCAAGCAATAATATGATTCAATCAATTGTTCATTAAATATTATTTTTTTATTTTTAATCACGTTCAAACCGTCTTAAGAGGCGTGTAATGCCGGTTATAAAAAAGATTTTTTACACGCGGATAATAATGTCGTTAAATTAGTTGTCAAATAATTATTATTTTTTTTAACAAACAATAATATCTACACTAAGGGGGAGAGGATTGACTTATCCTCATAATGGACTAACAATAACGTGATTCAATCAATTGTTTATTAAATATTATTTTCTCTATTTTTAATGTAAATTCAATGGAGACCAATTTTATTATGTGAATTTAGCTACTTTAATTGGTTTATGAGAGGTTTCTTTGTGTAATTTAAGATTATTCATTTATTTCAAATATTTGACTTTTCTTTTGTCAATTTACGCATATAAACATATTTAAAACGTGTAAGTCGCGCGTAGCACGTCGTGATTCAAAAAATACATTCTGTGTGACCATGTGCATAAAGGCTAGTATTTGAATAATTGCTCAACATTTTATTTTTAGGATATGCAATCTTCAAAATTTGGATCCAGGTCCAACTCTTTTTTCATCGATAATTAAAATACCATTTATGATTTATAAACCATCATTTGTAATTTTGTATACGACTCTTGGTCTTGGGCTAGTCGGACATATATTTGCTTATATTTTTGGTGAGCAAGTATGATATGTGATTGTTGCGTTTGGATGTTACTCAATCCACCCAGTGAAATTAATTAATGAAAAATTGTCCCCAGGTAAGGAACCTTATTAATTAATCAACGCATTACAAATACAATAATTTTCCATACATGGCATGTGAAACTGGCCTAAGACTATATTCAAAGAAGATGTCAAAAACATCCAACGGCCACCCTTTTTATTTACCCAAAAATGAAATATATCAAATCCAAAATGGCCAAATTCAAGCAAAAGGCAGATTTTGGCTCCAATAGTAAAATAGTAAAAGATAGGAGAACAAAAATAGAATTTAATCACAACCACGTACGATTTTGATGTTCAACTACTAGCCCATCGCATACGATGTTGAGTAGTAGGTGAAGATTCATATCATCAATCAATAAGTAATCAAGCAGCTATACAGTTTATTGTAAATCTCACAAAATTAAGATGATAAATCTATTCCGATCAGTTTCCCTTCTACCTCCTATTTTAATTATAAAAAAAGAAAAATAGTAAAATCGACCTTATGCAAAAAAATTATGAAAAGAAAACGAAAAAAAAATATGAAGTTGATGTTAGCAACATAAAACAAGTCAGTAACAATGGTGAGGGGCATTTGTTGTGACATCGGTGTAGGCCACCGCAAGAATGGAAGAGAACCGGCCGCTCCTCGCTCAAAGGTCCATGCATTGAGATGTTCAATGTGATTTGGCTGTTTTACCTAAATAAGTTACAATCATCACAAACTTTTCTTTTGTCTACGACTATGTGTTATAAAGATGTTTGAGATTTGAAATGTGATAGCGTCACATGTACAAATAGTAGAAAAGACTGATGGCAAATTTCTTAAGGTCGTGATCCTGGACCCGCCACGACGAAAAATAGTAGCTGCATTCAGTCATGACAGGCAATGACCAGAAGACCTCTCATTAAAATCAAACACGAGATACATTAAATAATCGTTGAAATACATTATGCAGCGAGTCTTTTAAAATAAATGTCAAAAGCATGCGTTAGCAAATTGTAATTCTAAATTGAAATATTGATACTGTTTGGCCCATTTATTAAAGGGAATTTTAACGAAAAGCTCCCAGTAATGAAAATCATATTTTTATATTAAAAAATCAATTATAGTATTATTCATTTTACCTTTTATTTTGTCCTTATTGTTAAAACTCAACTCAAAGTTTTCAAGCCATTTTTATTAATTTTCATTTTGTTAAACGCATGCAAATCATATTTGAATAATTGCTCAACAGTTTGTTATTTGGATATTATACAATCTTCAAAATTTGGATCCAAGTCCAACCCTTTTTTTATCGATAATTAAAATACCATTTATGATTTATCAACCATCATTTGTAATTTTGTATACTACTCTTGGTCCTGGGCTAGTAAGACATATATTTGCTATTATTTTTGGTGAGTAAGTATGATATATGATTGTTGCGTTAGGAGGCAATGAGATGTCAAAAGTGTAATTTACACAATTTTTGCCTTTTTTGTAACAGTAAGTCCTACAATATATAATGAAAAGAATAATTTTGACTCATTCTTTTGGAAACAAAGAAAATTTAACATCTAACTTCAAATTGCCAAGAAGGCAACCCAATGGAATGCCAATGATGTTAACATATGCTACAAATGCTTGCCATCCACACCCAACGGCCACCCTTTTTTTTTTTTTTTTTTTTCTTTGAAAACCAAAAATGAAATATATCAACTGAAAAAGGGCCAAATTAAAGCCAAAGGCAGATTTTGGTTCCAACGATAAAACGAGAACAAAAATTGAATTTAAACACGACCACATACGATTTTGATGTTCAACTACTAGCCCATCGCATACAATGTTGAGTAATAGGAGAAGATCCATATCATCAAATCAATTAAGTAATCAAGCAGCCACAGTTTATTGTAAATCTCACAAAATTAAGGTGATAAGTCTAATATTTTACAATATTCTGCGTTGTCCGTCTTAAGAGCAAGTCCAGCCCTGCATAAATGGCCCGGCACCAAGTGAAGAAAATGGCCCGGCACTGTGTCCATCAGCTCCAGCCCGGAAAATAGGCTGGCACCCAGCCCGTGCTAGTCAAGAGGCCAGCCCAAAATGGACAGACCCAGAGGCCGGTCCGTGTGCTGGCGCGTGCAACACACGCGGTGGAACCAGCGAGTAGCCGACAGCGTCTGCAGCAGTGGGGCCCGCGGTGCAGGGCAAGTGGACTGACTCTGTCAAAGGCCTACGTGGCCCTCCTCAGAGCCGTTGGATTTCCAACGGCTAGTTTTTGTAGGCCGTTGGATTTCCAACGGTAAAAAAAATTTAAATTTCACTTTTAAATTGGACCGTAAGATCACAGATCAACGGTCCACGTTTTTTTCACCAAAAATTAAAAAAAAAAAAGGCCCAGATAAGGTTGGATTTGATTATTTTTCAAATCCAACGGTCCAGATTAATTACAATATTAAAATTTATTAAAAATTAATTAAAAAATGTCAAAATTTTTTAAAAAAATACAGAAATATTTTAAAAAATTAATTTTTTTTTTCTATTCAAAATCTTAGCGGAAATCTATTCAAAAAATAGTACGTTCGGATAATGACACGTGGCGTGACGAGATTGGTTAAAAATCATATTCGAAATTAAAACTATTTTTTTTTATTATTTTATAAAAAAAATATTTAATATTTTAAATGGACTGGGTGCCAGCGCATTTTGTAGGGGTGGAGATCGTTTGTGCCAGCGCATTTTTAGACTAGGTGCCAGCACATTTTTTTTTGGGTGGAGATGCTTTGGCCTATTACTGTTCATTGGGTCTATTACTGTTCAATTAAGTGGATAAATGGGCTGGGTGCTGGCGCAAAGTGGATAGGGGTGGAGTTGCTCTAATGACCAATTTTTCTCGTAAAGTCATCGATCTGCCTCATTATTTTTATCTTAATTGACATTATTACCTTTAATATGTTGGTCTTTTTCACACAAAGGACAAGATTTTTATCTTAAAGGACATTATTCCTTCAGAGAGAGAAATAAATAAGTACTCGAACTAATTGTCTTGTTTAAATTAATTACCATAAACGGACAGAATATTAGTCAATTGTTGTAATCCAGATTCTCTCAATCAAGTTAATTAATCAACCTTGCAAATATTTACAACGTGGCTCTGATGGGTTAATTGTCTATATGCAACACTTTTTTACATGTGTAGGATTCTCTCCTCTCTCTCATCTTTTTTTTTTTTTTTTTAGTACATTAATATTCTTATACTAAAAAGAGGGAGTACAAAATGTTGATGTGATTTAGCATGAACATTTAAATTGGAGAAGAGTAAAGGGAAGAAAAACAATGAGAGAGTAGAAAATTCGAATTCAATTTTCAACATGTTGAGTTGTTGACCAGGTACGTAAAGCTGTGGTTTAATTTGCAGAAGTTTATTTTATGTAAGTGATGGCATGTATATACAAAGGGAAGTGATTCTGTACTTAATTTGTTGGGTTAAATAATAATTAAAGTGCATGAACAAAAGGAGGTGCGCATAAGGGGAAAACGAAGGTGCAAAATTATTTTTTATAATCTTTGTAACAGCGAGTGAGTCCCACAATATATAATAAAAAATAAATAATGAGTGTTATTAGACTACTTCAATATCTTATTTTTTCACCTATATGATAATCACACACATAAGAAAAAATTAAAAAAGTAAAACGTTATTTTTCCACCGCAATTATTTCCAAAATAACCTTAATATATTTTGTTTAAATTTTTATTTTTTTAATAGAAAAGAATATAATTATAACATGAATTATACAACTACCCATCGCAAACGTCACTTAAAGAAAATTCTACATCTATATAATACAAATCATTACAGACATCTCAAAAAATAACTACCAGCACAACTCGACAACTAATATACATTATCAGAAAATATGTTAGTGTGTTCGTAGTGTGACCTTGGAACAAAAACTAACAAAGTATTTTGCAATGCTGTTAGTGAATTTTTTGGCATTTATAGGACGAACATCATCAGATCTTCTTGCAGAAACCTTGAATTCCTAACCACTTTTCATCCTTTTTGGAAAAGTCTCAGATCACACCACCATGTCTCTTTCTCATATGTTGAAGTTTTTTGCCTCACACACCGATTTCTTCCTCCAACTTTTGTGTCGATTGTAGCCCAAATCTTTCATAGCCTCTCTCCGACCCAAATGTCACACCCCACCACCATTATTTATTATTTTTTGTTTTTTTCCAAATTTTAGTGATTAATTAAATAGAGATTTAAAAGTCTTCTCACAAATGAATAAATACGTTATTAATATTTTTATTAAATAATACATGGGCAAATAAGACACTAACGTTGTAACATCAGCACTCAAAATAATCTGACTCGTCCTTGGAAGAAAAAAAGAGGTAAATTTAGCTTTTATTTTTAAATTGTCTTGTCAACCATCAAATCAAATTTGACAATGTAAATTTAACATCTCGAGATGCTCTAATTAATCAGAAGATCCTCTTGAGAACGCTCCTTTTTGTCTTCCCAATTGTCCAAACGATTCCTTACCTTTTCAACCTGGAAAACAATTTGAATGTTATATAATATGTGCATGAGCATATCCCTCGGCATGCATCATGCATGCATGAGGTAACTACATATTTGTGAACTCAAATATATATAGGAAGCCCCTTAGGAGCGGGATTCCGTTTTGCTCAAAAATTCACCATATATATATAATATGGTTTGTTTAATTGACAATAAAACTAAAGATGTTTAATTATTTTTAATTAAGCTAACCTCTTTGTTCCAGTCAGTCCGAAATGTGACCCACATTAAGATAACGGTCTGCATAAAAGTACCTCCTATCATCCCAGCCCATATTCCCTGAAAAGAAGAAGATATAAATTGTAATTAAAACAACTACAATAGGAGATTTGTAAAGAAAAAAAAATGACATTAGAAGTTGAAATACCTGAGCTCCAAAGTCGAACTTGAAGCCAAGAAGGCAACCCAATGGAATGCCAACGATGTAGTAGCATCCCACGTTAACATATGCTACAAATGCTTGCCATCCACACCCAACGGCCACCCCTTTATGTTTAACCCATTTATGAAGTATCACATCAAAAAGGGCCAAAAAGAAAAGGCGGATTTTTGGTTCCAACAGAAAAGGATAGGAGAATAAAAAAATTAACTAAAATTAGGACCACGTAGGATTTGGATGTTCAACTGCTAGTCCATCGCTAACGATGTTGAGTAGTAGTAGAAGATCGATATCATCGGATTAAGTAAGGAATCAAGATTAGTGCTATTCACACTTATTTTCACTTTTCACATATTTTTTAAAATTTTTGACCATTAAAACAAATGAATTAAAGAAAATTAATAACAAATTTTTTAAAAAGTATGCGACAAATTAAAATATGTAGATAGCATTTACTTTTAAGTAATTAAGTAGCCATACAGTTTATTGTAAAACATCACAACATTAAGGTGATAAATCTAATATTCTACTAAGGAAATGATTTTCACTCTTTTTAATTTCTCACACATTTCTTTATTTCTAGCTATTAGATTGAATAAATTAAACAAAATTTGATTCGGCATGATGCTTACTGAACCTCGACCATAATTAAATAAGGATGTGTAAGAAATTAAAATAATATTACTCATTTTCCATTTATATTGTCCGTGTAAAAGGAATCTGGCCACTAATGACTTGTTGTCTCGTAGAGTCATCCCTCATTATTTTTATCTTCTTGACATCATTCTTTAATTTATAAGTCATTTTGCATCGCCAAGTACCACCTTCCTTCAAATCATTTTCAACCCTTGAGTTAAAATTTAAAAATTTTAATCTAAAAAATTTAGATTATAACCCAGAAACAGTTTTTTTTTTCCAACCCTTTTGGGTTAAATTTTTAGCCCCCAATTATTAAAGAATGAATTTAGGATATTATTTTTCTTAAAAACTTTAAAAAAAATTATGTAGACTATTTTAATTTAATTTTTGAACATTTTAACCTAACAATATTTAAATTCCAATAAATATTGAAAAAATCACTAAACTAGCACCATGAATCTCGTGGAACACTACGAAAGAATATGAAACACATAAAATAAATTTTTAATTACTTCAACCGTGGAATTTAAATTTGGACCGTTAGATTTTTTTTTTTTTTTTTACCGTTAAATTTGATCAAATTAGATCTTACTAGTTGGATTCAATGATTTTATAATATAAAACTAAAAAAATACACATATATGGTGGGCTAACCTCACTAACTTAGGAGGGGATCCTGATTTAAATTTATCCCATAAATGAGTTTTATGTTTTAACTCATATTTGCCCTTAGAATTGAAGCAAGTTGGGATAAATTTAAAATATAAAATTTAAGTTTTACTTTAAGAATTGAAGTAGTTCTCATAGGGAGACAAAGATATACTCATTTAAAACGTCTTGCTTAAACTGATAAACATTACCAACAGAATGTTTGTGGGTTATATCTCATTCAAGTTGATCAACCATGCATGCAACTGTTTACACCTGGCTCAGATGGGTTAATTGTCTGTATGCAGAATTTTCCTTTCATGGCTAAATTTTCAACATATTGACCAGGTGGGTAAAGTTATGGTTTAATTTGTAAAGTTTATTTTATTTAAGTGAATGCATGTATATACATAGCAAAAGGATTCTTGTACTTTATTTTGTTGGGTTAAGTAAGTTAATTAGTAATTAAAATGTATAAACAAAAGGAAGAGTGCAGAAGGAGAGAAGGAGAAACGAAAGTACAAAAATTATCTCCTATATATTTAACGTGAAATTTCACTTACCTGACAAAACAGGTTGGATACCGTTGAGAATGATAGATGTTGCAAGATAAGGAGAAAGTTCTGAGACTGCATTAGAGACTGTTTCCCCCTCAGTGAAAATGTAACTTATGACATCTCGCAATGCAAGTACAATTATGGCACAGACCACCGAGATGAGGAAGGAGCTTGAAGTTGCCATCACAACTGCAAATGCAGCCGCTTTTGGATGCCCAGCCCCAAGCTCATTCCCGACCCTCACACTGCATAAATAAGTCAGGGGGATTATGTTTAGGGTTTTGTTAGTTTAAGTAAATAATTAAGTAGTCCCCAAATAATTATTTAAATCAACTCACCTTGCAGCAGCATTGAACCCCACAGAAACCATGAGCACCCATCCAGTTATGGCCATGCTGCATTATTTAAATATTCGATTAGAGAAAAGGAAAAAATAAAAATAAAAACATCTGCAAAATTGACTTTGGTCAGAACACAATTATTAGATTAAGGACATTAAAAAATTGATCATTACAACAATTATGGATTTGTAAAAGTGATTAATTTGGCCAGTTTTCTTAATTTGGTGCTTACCAGATAGAGAGGGCGTCCAAGGCAATTTCAGCATCTTGAAGCAACCCAGCAATCAAAACTATAATTTGATAATACCAAGTCTCAAGGCATAACATTACGGCCGATGCTGCAGACAACTTCAAAAATCTCCAAAGACCGGAAAATGCCCTAATGCTAAAACCTCTCCATGTACTCTTGCACCTTGGAGTCCAAACAATGTATACAAACTGTGCCACCACTATAATCCACCATGAAAAACTCAGCATCAACGCCGCACCCAGCAAACCCCAATCCAGTTTGTACACCACCACCCAGCTTAACACTATGTGCACCACAAGTGCACCTGCTGAGATGTAGGCACTAGGGAACACTATGCTCTGGGCTTGGAGGAATTTTTGTATGGGGAAATTGCAAGCGTAGGCAAATATTTGAGGGATCAGACCGTATACGAAAACCGCGGCCGCAGCTGAGATGGAGGCTGATTCACCTAGGGCTAGCAAGAGGGGCTTGGAGAAGATGTAAATTATCGTAAGTGGGATCCCAGTTGCCACGAGGAGGATTGTTGATCTCTGCATGTATATGCCCAGCATTTCATATTTATGTGCTCCATAGGCTTGACCACATAGAGTTTCCACCGCACTACCCATACCAAGCTGCACTAAAAACACATGTTACTTGTATATCTGATTCATGATCGAAGATAATATAAGATATGTTATGTTGACAGACTGTAAATTTGAATCATTAATCCAGTTAATGAATTAATTTTTGGTCAAACATGCATGTGGTAATTAACAATAGCACACCATGAAACATATCTGACAAAAGAATTTTACCAATCAACTTCGTGCTTCGAAAATCAAATGAGTGTTAACAGGGTAAGTTGAATTATTATGAATACCATGAGGCCAAAGGTGAAAACTTGAATCCCAATGTTGCCAAGAGATGAGGCAGCAAGTTCAAGATTGCCAAGATGACCACAGAAGATTTGGGTGGACAAGGTTATAACATTGTTGAGCAAGTAAACCACCACCGCCGGAGCTGCCAGGCGACACAGGGTCTTCGTCTCGAGCCACGTGGCCGTTCGGAGACGCTGGAAGTATGAGAAGTCAGTGTTGTTTAGTGTGTCTTCCAGTTCCGAGCTTACTATCTGCGGTAATGAAGATGTTTTGGGAACTAACATGGGCTCAGAGAGATCATTATCACTTGAGTACTCCATGCTAGCAAGAAATCTCTCTCTCTCTCTCTCTCTCGACAATGGACAAGAGGGCAAGAGGTCCTTTCTTGTGATTTGTCAAGCCGTCTACAAGCTACTTATAAACACCATATGGCATGACAAATTTTTCGCAAGAAAAAAGGAAAAATAAAATGCTAAAAAATAAAATGAATCAAAACAATCAATATTATCAAGAAAACTTACGGGTTCTGATAAAGGTTAATATTAGGTAGATTAAATTTATAGAGAAAATTTGCATTACAAGAAAACCGTGTGCTTGTTTTACAGAAATCGTGTGCTTTATGTTGAAAAAAGTTGAATAGCACATGGGTACTTGTGCTTTCTAAAGACAAATCTCTGTCTCTCCCTCTGTGCTGAATGTTGAAAAAAGTTGAATAGCACAAATCTGTCTCTCCCTCTGTGCTGAATGTTGAAAAAAGTTGAATAGCACATGGGTACTTGTGCTTTCTAAAGACAAATCTCTCTCTCTCTCTCTCTCTCTATTCTGTCTCATTTCTGTATTATCTCTCTCTACAGCCCAGAAGGCAGAAACCGCCCAATTGCATCTCTTCTTTGTTCTGACTTCTCAGCCTCTCTCTCCCACCGTCGAATTCTTGCATCTCCATGCTGCTCTGCTTTCTTCCTCTCTTCCTCCAATTCAGACTCTCTCTCTCTCTCTCTCTCTCTCTCTCCCCCCCTCTTCTTGCACCTCCATGAACCCGCGGAGCATTCCTTTCCTTCACTCCAAAGCTTGGCTGCAGACAGTTCCTTGAAAGCTCAAACAACATCCGACGCGCTGCTTCGATAACTGAACAGGTGCTGCATCCAATCTCACCACCAAATATTCTATCTCTCTCTTTCATAGCCATGGCACGGCAATTGCTCGGCAATCGCGGCAAGTTCTGCGCAGCGCTTCTTCATTGTCACAACATTCCTTCCAATTCTTTCCAAACCCTGGCTTCTTCATTCCCCACCACACCATCTCCGCTGCCTAATATCAGATTCATAAAAATAAAATAAAAAATCATCGAAGAAACGGAACGGACTGAAACCGAACCGAAAAAAACCGAAACGAAAAAAAAAAACTTCAATTCGGTTACAATTTTGACAAAAAATCGAACCGTTTTGAACCGAAGCGAACCCTAATCCAGATCCACGAAAGAAACAAACAAGCTAATAGTTTGCCTTTGCTTTATTTGTTTGATGATTCAGAGGGATACAAAGACAGAGAGGCATATTAATTCATTGTGGCAAATTCAAGAAAATGAAGCATAACGAATCAAATTTGACAACGTTCTGGGCTGGGACTTTTATTTTTTCTTTTACATATGAAAAGTTTAGAGTCCAAAATGAAAATTTTAGAGTGTCAATAACAATTTCATTACATTGTTCACATGGGTTTTTATCACTTGATGATAAAGAAAGAGTGGTGTTATTCATATACCTGTGTTGCTTTTTGTTGTTAGATAATCTTCAAGTCATTTGGGTAAATGGTCAGAAATTAAGAAAAATGTAGAGGAGGTAAAGTATAGTGTGTGGATAACATCACCCAAAAGCATTGATGAAAAAACATGCATCTTTTTTTTTTTTTTTTTTTTTTGAGCTAACGATATCATCTACGCTAAAGGAAATATGATGAACTTAGTACTGATTTGGTACTGAGGTGCTTTTATAAAAAGTGGGTATAAAAAAAAACTAAGCGTAAAAATGTGTTTGGTAAACACTTAAAACAGCTTATTTTCACAATTTTGGATGAAAAAAGCTCAAAACGTGAAGCAGCAAAAATGAGCTTATTTTCATAGAACAACAAAATCAGTTTTTTTTCAAAGCACAACAATACCAAACAAATCTCACAATGAACTAGCAATAATGTGGTTCATATTCGCTTTTGGCAAGAATCGAACCTAAGACAACTCACTTACAAGTAAAGAGGGAAACTGCTAGACCATAGTACTAAGTGACAAAAAGCACGAATCTTAATTCATCTGAATGTAACTAAAATCTTCTAGTCAATAGACTCGAAAAACTGGAAAGCCATGAGAAAGGCAAGCTTTCAAAATCAGTAGATTCATTTATCAATCTTATCTAAACCAGGCAAACTAGCAATACTCCCACATTACACATTTCCACATGACAGACGTGAGTTATACCAGTTGGCCAATGCAGTTATACTTGCTTACCCGAATTTGAACCGAATCGTTCAGAATCAACGAAGGCAAACACCTGTGCTGTCGGTGTCCATACTCCTCAAAGTACAGCAACAAATAAATTACTGTATCACTGGAAACCTACAACATGAGGAAATACATGCAAATCTTGTAACTAGATTAAATTTGGTAAATGAGTACAATATATGGTCGAGTTGTTCCATCACTTGTAAAAGAAGTAAGATTATACTTCGGCTGCCATCTAAGTTTACAATATAATTAACCACCATCGATTTCCTAATTTTTACAGAAATTTTATCACAGAAGCAAGCAAGAATCATCAATCAGTAGGATTGGAATCACAAACTTGAAGTCAGATTGCCGTAGAATCATAGTTTCTCTGCCCAGTCTTCACGACAATCTTATATCGATTAGATTGGGGTGACTTGTATAAAAGATGAACCAATCATGAATTTTCCTTCAAAGGACTGGCACGTTTTCCTCAAGGGAAACTTATTCACAGAAGCATCATAAGGACCATCCCGGAAGCAAGGAGTAGAGAAAGCATCACATCATCATGGTACAGACCTGGAGACCAAGAAAGCATATGTTTTAAGATTAAACTCACAGGCCAAAGAGGAGGAAGAAAAAAAAAGTCAATAAAAAACAATCCTAATTCAAGGCTCTAGGTAAACTCTGGTTTTCCATGTACATAATGCTCGAAGAGTTCTGCGACTAGTTTCCTAAGAATTTTCATAAGGATAAACAAACTTAGCATGCCTTACATACTGCACATGGGGACCGCTGATATAAACGAAATTATCACCAATGAAGATTAACGACTGAACCTACTCACCACTTTCAGCAGATGCTGCTGCAGGAAGAGCAGGAATCCTGACATCTGGAATTCGGAAGTCAGGCAGAAATCATGAGAGCACTACTAAAAGGAAAATACAGCCTTATGAAAAAGTAGTGCCGATTTGAATATGTAATGGGAATGCAAATGCAGGGTACTGCATTGAAATGAATAAACGCTAAGAACTTGCTTGCACATACTTCTACCGCACGAGGAAGCTGCCCCTTGAGAGGTGGGCCATGGAGCTGGAATGTTATCATTCAAATCACAAAGGAAGCTGACTCCTGAACTGTCAAATGTTGCATCGGAAGGCAGGCTCGGCAAAAGACATCCAGACACTATGATGCAAAAGCAAAACGAAAGACCAGTTTACAAGATTAGAAGAAGAAACGAGCAAAAAGCACTGGTATGAAATTATTGATAACTCAACCATCATTGGCAAAGTCAACATTAGTTATTCTGACAATAAATTCAAAAATGCAACCTTTTCTTTTGGATATGGTAATTTTTTTTTTCTTTGAGTATGCTATTATAATGGGTGATACAAACGAAAGTAAGTTTATTACCTTGATTTCCAACTGAGTTGTGCAAATCCATCCCCAAATGATTTTGACATGTATAAAGCACACAAAATCTGTATTAGCACCATGGTAGGCTGTTTATTGTTTGGTAAAGAAAATATAGGAACAGAGGAAGCACTAACCTTGAAGAGAGAAATCCTTGAGGCTTATACGACATAGGCTATACACATCTTCGATAATATTTGATTTTCTTAACTTCATTCCCAGTGATGCAGCACAATCCAAAGCTTGCAAGTTGGTTATGAGACTCTGCTTTTGCAAATGGGCCACATAGCTCTCCATGGCAGTACAACAAGCAGTCCGGTTACTTATCCCATTCCCACAACCCATTGCAACATGCTTCATGTCAGGGAAAACCAGGGGGCAAGCTGAAGTGAACACCAGACAAACATACACGATCAGATACTCCAATCGAAGATTGGCATCTCCAAGTAGAATCAAACAAATACAAGATGCAGAGCAGAAACATAAACTAGTATTCTTTCTCTCGTTCTATTTCTATTTCTCTCACACACAAAAATCACGTATAATAATCAACTTTCACAAGATGGGAGTAAGCCCCGAATATGATGAAGGCAGACAGCTAGAACTCCAATGATATCTCTTATATGACTGATCCATATCATAGAGAAGGCAATCCACCTATAGAAGTGCCAAGAAAATTCCTTTCAATACAGAAAGAAAGAGACTGATAAAATCATAAAAATAGAAGAGACAGTCTATAAGAAGATATATGTAATAATATATTTCCTTGACCACTGGCACTAGTTCATCGATACAGTTTTAGGAGACAACTCTAGAAACTTCTAGATAAATGTATGAATATCCCATCTTTAACCGGATAACATAATAACTATAATTTTCCATTTGTCTGTTTAGAAAAAATACGAACTAAAAGATAAAAGAAAAGTACAGAATTTGATGGAGGTCCTATGTAGCACCATGTTTTACTAAACTCACCCTTGTTAATCTTGCAACTAGAAAGTCCCCTTAGAACTTCCTTGGCGCGAGAAGGACTGAGTTTACTTGCCAGCCACCGGAGGACAATATTTTTGCAGTCATTGACTTTACTTAATCGATCAGGTAAGAGATCATGAGCACCATCTGTGCTCAAAAGATCAGAAACTTTCGATGCAATCCTTGTAGCAGCCTCTAATATGGCATTCTCACAAGTTTGAGCGCAACATTCTTTCACAGGGTCAATCTTCTCACAAGCGGCAAGCAACTTTGAAGTATCAACTGTATCCTCAAACTCATTAACATCAAAGACTGGGCAAGATGCATTAGTCAGATTTGATGAATGAACCGAGCATATTTGTGCAAGACTGTCATTTGCACCCTGGCCCACCAAAATCTGTTCAATATCTGATAGACAGTGTTTAGCAGTCGTTCCATTTAAAGCAAGAACATTGGTCTCTTTACTGGATTGACCAACGAGAATTGTGAGAGTGGCTTCCAACTGTGGACAACACATTACATTAGCCAGTAATGGTGCAAAAACGGACCAGCAATCAATTGAGGTCACACTCATCAAACTCTCAGCAACACTGAAGTTTAGTCTACAGAGTCCTGCAGGCAAAGTATGTAACTTGAGAACCAAATCACAGAATGCCAAGGGCAATTTAGTTTAACTGGAGCAAATGAGGAGGGAGGGCGGAACCTGATAATCTTGGGACGGTGGTATTAGTATATGGTGCCAATGGTGAAGGAGCAAGAAGGGGAAGAAAGGGCTGAGGAGTCGCTGTAGGAGAGATCATTGGTAACATAGAATCTTTTTGCTTAATCGACAAGACTGGATCTTTAAGATAATCTAACGTGCTGCAACAACATACATGGAGACCTATAAAACGAAAAGCAAAGAGCATTGGTAAGTAATAATAAAACCGAAAATCTACACAAATCACAATCACAAAAGTTTTAGATGCATAACTTCCTAATGAATTTTAGAGCAGTTCTAAAGCCATAGACAAACCAGTCCGGTGCCAAAGGCAACTAATGAATTTTAGTTATAAAGCATGTGACTCCATGAACACAAGTAGTGTCTCAATGAACTAATAATGTAGCAAAATATCAATGACGGTGAAATCTTAAATCCGCAGTTGTGCACTAATGTATGTCCTACAAAGTTGTATAAGGGCAAGTCTATACTTGCTCAAACAGCAATCAAAACCCTAACATAACCTGGGATATCATAATTCACTCTAAACAGTTACTAGAATCGGTGCTATGCCTTACAATAAGCACTAGATTCAAAGTTAAGAACAAGAACATGACTTCAATAATCCGATAACCAAATGCATCATATATTCTTTGCAAACTGAAATCAAGATCAATGATGTTTCACAAAATCTGAGGTGCACATCATACCAAAGATCATATTTTTTCGAATAAAAAAGCACAAATCTTTCACGAAACCCAGTTGCACCAATCCAACTTAAGCAATTATAACCATGACCCGGAAGGTAATACTCAATTTGTTTGCAAAATTAAACAAAACCCAGTAAAACAGAAAGAAAAAAAAAAAAAAAAAGGTTAGAAACTCACTTAGGAACAGGATAAAGATGTGGGCAGTGAGCCTCAGAAAAACCATTTCCTTCCTGCCTTCAATTTCCTTGCTCCCAAATAGTGAAACCAGAGAGAGAGAGAGAGTGAACTGCAGCGTTTTCAAGCTTCAGACTTGGAATTCAGAGAAGGGTTCTGCAAGTGAGGAAATGGAGGAGGAGACATTGTGGGAAGAGGAAGATGAGGTGAGAGATAGATAGAGAGGGAGGGGACAGGGGAGCGGAGGAAGAGGAGGAGGAGCCATGAAAGAGCTTGGAAGTGGGGTGGGGCCCACAGAAGCGGTAATGGCTGTCTTGAGTAGGCCCCACAGTGAACAGAATACTCGGATAGAAGAGCACTGGTGCATTTAACGCCATCCATTGCCTTTTTCGCCCTCCCCACCCCACAACTGGCAACTCCTACTTTCTACACCAGCTATTTCGCACGCCTGACACGTGTGAAAGTTCCTTGCGTCGTGGTGGTCGTTCGGGATAGTTAAAGCAGGAAAGAGATCATTTTCAGATCATTTTCATCAAGGTCACCAAATTAAGTGATTCGGAAATTTGAAATTTGATCTAACGACAAAATTTATTATAACTTTTAAAAAATGCCTCTGTTTTTAGTTGTTAGATCAAATTTCAAAAATCTAAATCATTTGATCCGATGATATTAGTAAAAGAGATTTGAAGATGATGTCTTTCCATTAAAGCGGCCATTGCTCTCAAATTTTCTGGTGCTCATTTGTGTAGGCAATGAAATTGAGAAGTTGTGGAACACTATTTTTTAACAATTTTTTTAATTAAAGATATTATGTTGGTGTGGTATAGATTTTATGTAAAATTTAATCGTTGATTTTTTAAATTATTTTCTCGTACCTTGAAAAAAGTAAAATTGTACGTTTTAATTTTTAAATTTTTTAACTTGAGAAGTGCTTAGAGATTCTCAAATGTATGATTTTTTATAGACTCTCTGTCATTTTAATTTTTCTGAACAATATTTTACAATGTTGGCACACGAATTGACGTTAAACTGTGAGGTAACAAAGAGAAATTATCAATCGTCGGATCGGATGAATTGACGAAGATCAACAGACAAAAATTATTAAAGGGTGTGTGAGAAGTAAAACGGGATGTGTAGATAACACACCCCTAGTTTTAAGGGAATACCCTTCACATTTCTCTTTTCACTTTGTACGATACTACTTTTCTTTTGATGAGATTGAAATTTCAGACAAAGTATTTTAATGAGGTCATTGTGCCCCTTATTTTCTTTTTCTTGAAACATACAAACATGATATTGCATAACTAGTATTTTGATTTTAAATGGTAAATAAGTGAGTTGGATTTTTAGAGTAAAGTTGAAGCTTGATATTGGGTCATTTCTAACTTTTATGATGGCTTATGATCCGTTATTGTTTTGTTTTGAAAAGCAAAGAAAATGATTAGCATGATTGATGTGAAGGAGAATCCTAACGATGTGGATTATGCCGTGGAAGTAGGGAATCCACACCTTGTCTCCAACTATAAGCAATACATGATTGAGATATATAAAAAAGGTGAAGCATCAACTTTCACTAGTTATGAAGAGGACTCCATTGAACAATATCCTTCCAAGTGACAATAGGAAGCTCATGGAATAAAGTTTCCAATATCCCTCCAATCAAAACATATTAGTTTTTTGTTATTTGGGAAATTTGCTGAATTTGTATGTGTCATAAGCTCAACCAAACAAACATAAAGTGAAAATTAGTCTAGCTAAAGTCCACGTGCAAAGTCTTCTCACTGCTATATGAGTGGTTCCCTGTCCGTCAACTTTTAATGCCGCGGGCTCTAGCTGTGTTTTTCAACTCCAATAGCTGTTCATCTTACTAGACTATGCCCTCATGTCCGATCTTCTTCTCCATTTTCTAACCATTGCTATCCGTCCATCCTCCACAATTCCGATCTCTCACTTCTTTGAACTCGTTTTTGGTTTTGGGCTTAAACTTGTTCGGGCTCTTTTTGTTTTGCTTTGAAGGTCCATTTTTTATTTGTCCCTTTGTTAAAAACAAACAAACATCAGGTGAAGGATTACTTAGGATCAAGCCCACAAAGATACTAGACTTGGACGGTTATAAAATTATATTTTGGCTAAATAGCCAAAATAGTCTATGAGATTTGCATAACACATTACTTTGATTCTTGAGATTGATAATCAATAGAAATGGTTCCTGAGATTGTCCACCATCCATCATTTTGGTCATTCCGTTAAAAACTCCGTTAAGTATTCCGGAGCTCTTGTCCGGAAGTTTGGGCAATTTTCAAAGCTTCATAACTCAATCATTTCTTAACCAAATTCGATCCATAATATATCAAAATGAAGATAGGAACGTGCAGAATAAGATTATACCTATTTGGAAGCCCAATGGTTGCCGAAGTTGGCTGGAAAATAGCCTCAAAGTTGACTGGTCCGCAGAAAAACTGGAAAACTCGCCGAAAACTGGGTAAATTTAAACTTTCATAATTTCTTCAATACTCAACGAAATTGTGTGATTCAAAAATAAAAATCATACTTCTCAACGAGAGGAAGAGAATGGTAACTATTGGGCTTCCAAGTAGGTATAATCTTATTCTACACTTTCCTATATTCATTTTGATATATTATAGGTCGAATTTGGTTAAAAAAATGATTCAGTTACCAAGGTTTAAAAATTGCTCAAACTTCAGGCTAAGAGCTCCAGGACACTTAACAGAGTTTTTAACGGAATGACCAAAATGATAGATGGTGGACAATCTCAGGGACCATTTCTATTGATTTTCAATCTCAGAGACCAAAATGATGTGTTATACAAATCTCAGAGATCATTTTGACTATTTAGCCTTATATTTTAGACTCTAAAATCAAGGGAAAACTTTAACACGTCATTTGATGACATCATTTGTAAGGTATTTTCGCAAACAATCGGGATTCTCTACATTTAGGCATCATACCCAGCCCTTCGCTTGTGCGAGTTTCCTTTCGAATGATGACGTGATCATGTCCTATTGAAGATTTTTTTTTCTTTCTAAATCATTAGGAACTTAAAAAATGAAAAAAGGTAAATAATAAAAGAAATATTTATCTTCACATATATATATATATATATATATGTATATGTACATAGACTACAAATGAAATTGTACATATAAACAAATTTGAATCTTTAGATATAAGAAAGGAAGAATTAAAAAAGAGTCATCACATTTAATTTCTGGCCTAAAATCTATGGTCTAAAGCTATTCCTCATGAAAACCATTGCATGGTGATATTGACGATGAACTAATTACTTAATTAACTTCCGGAATACTTTGGAGAACAGGCCTCCAGGGCCGTTGACGGTCCATCTCATCACGACCATCATAGTACTGATCATGACCATCACGGCCGTTGATCATGACCCAAGTTAATAGCTGTTCCACAGACGAAAGACCCTGCATGTTTCCTCCTCCTTTTACCAACTCCTCCAGCTCTTTCTTACTAATCTTGATCTTCACTTGATCTCCTCCAATACTACTAGTACTAGTAGAAAATGAAGATGTTGAAGCTCCAGATGATGAATATGATCTTATCTCACCAAGAAGCCTATGCTTTTCTGGGTTGTGTGCACTTTTATCATCAGGCTGAAGCTGAGAAACGTCAATCCAGTTGTCGTCTCCGGCCCATACCATCGCGGAATCGCGCCTCAAACAGTTTCCCATTCCTGCTATACGTAGCTTATTTTGTCGACGGAGCTTAAGAATTAAGGGTTCTTGAGAAATAAGCCCTTGTAACTCTGTGTTTACTTCTAATAGGTATTATTTCTAACCACACAAATGAAAGTGAGTTGAAAGAAGGGAGAGTTTAACGATGGGGGAAGTATGTGTTATATATAGGAGCCCTAGCAGAGCTGCAGAGTTGTGAAAGGTGCGTGGGATGGGATTGGGTCAGGTGACACCTTGACAATATTATTGTTATAATATTACATTTGCAGCCTCGAGGAAACTGCATGCACGAACACTATTATATTCAAGGGTGATTTTTAGTTGGTTCGTCTCTTTTTCTGACCCCGTGTAGAACATGTTAGGAGAGTCAGCGGCTCGATCGGCTTAATTTAGAAGCTCTATTTACAAGTTGAAGTAATTTTAATCTACCTAGAACACAGTCCTATATACTAATAGCTAGAATTATATATAAATAGGTTGATTTGTTTTTCACTAGTATATACTCAAAAAGTGAAATATAGTAACTTTAGATTGTTCACTTTTATTATTATATGTGACTAGTGTACCATGTGGCTTCTTGTCTCAATACTTACAAAAATTTCTCTCTAAATTGGCTATCAATTAGTGTGACTTGTCAAGATGTTAGACATACGCAAACCAAAAACTCATTATTAATTACGCTCATGCTCTACTTGCATATTATCTAAAATATGTATGGAGTTTTATTGCAAAAATTTTAGTGAAATTGTGATGCTAGCTGTTCATTATATATTGCACCTTAATTTTGTCAATTTCACTCTTTACATTATTTTAGCATCTTATCCATTCCTCTTTGTTCTTGCTATCAGATTGAAAAAAAAAAATAAACAAAATAATAAATATAATTAAAAAAAAAGGGGGTAAAAAGAAAGAAAATGATGACATAGAATTCCTTGACTTCGGAATTTCATTAAAGTAATCAATTTGTATATTTGGAACAACATCTTCACCAATTCTATGTTTTGGTCCAAATTCACCAATTCTATTTTGTTGGTTCAATTGGACAACATCTTCACCAATTTGTATATTTGGAACAACATCTTCACCAATTATATCATATATATCTTCATATTTTCTTCTTCTTAACTATATGCTAAGCTAACAGAACTTCACATTTTTCTCACTTAACCAGTTTAACCATATATCTTCAGATCTCTACCTTTCAATGCTTGGTATCTTGTTCTACTTATGGTGTTTTTGCTAGGGAGGAACGGAACGGGTGAAAATGGAATAGCACGCCGTTTAATGAATTCAAGCGTTTAGTTGGATAAGAATCAATACAACAGTAGGACTCACCCCAATTCAGGAATCAAACTTCTGAAATTGACGGAGTAAGATTATTTATATTATGGTTGTATTTGAATCCCGGTTAGTCGTGGTCACCTGGAATCCAACTTTTGTTCCAATACTGCCCTCCTATCTTTCTTTACATGGCAGTGTTTGTATAATGTTAATTAAGTCACGAGACTCGTGACTCATAGAATTGTTACGGGTCATTAACTATACACTATATCTACTAACATATTATCCTATGCTAGCTTGTCCGTCAATTTTCGGTGTTGTTTTGGTCAAGATGTCATGTAATTTCTTGCTCTACTTATCTTTGCACTCAAGTCTTAATCAAACCACCTGCACCGATTTTTCTTTCCTTTTCCTGCTCGCCATGTGTTTATAGGAGATTATGTAGTAGTTAATTTTCCCTCCAACCGCTTGTTGGTCTTGTGGTTGGTAGTTGAACCTACGCAGGGCAATTCAAAGGAAGGATCGTACATTACAATTTGGACCAATAAGAAGGCGCCAGTTAGCCATCGAGTTGTCGTACTTTCAGTGAATTCAAATTTATTTATGTGATCATCTCGATGAAGATTGAACTTTTTCCAGTATATATGATCTCAGACAGAATGGGAAACAATTAAAGGTTTTAATGCTGAAGCTGAAAGCTAGAAAGTTAATTTATATATGTGCCGACAACAACCAAAATATGAGCGGCAGCCAACTCTCATTAAAATGGGTGCATGCATGCAGTTGTATAACAATACCATTCTGACTCTGCATTTAGATGTTGTGAATTTACTTGAGGATCTCGAGTTTCTGCATTTAAAAATTGTGTGTTTACCTGTATTTTATAGAATCTTAACCATCTTATCAATCTAATGACTTAAAGAAAGCCACAAGTCATTGGATTGCTTGTATGGTTAAGATTCTTGTAATGCGAATAAATGCACAACTTCTAAATGCAGAGACTCAAGATTCAAAACAATAAGGTGGATCAAAATGAATAGATATCAATAAACAAAAGCTAATTATATATAAGTAGTTTTTAATTATTAGAAGCCTTCCAGTAGATATGTAACTAGGCAAGTAGTACTAATGTTGAATATTAGAGGGTTTGTAACCAACTCTCTTGAGCGTTTGTAACCAACTCTCCCTCTAATATTCAAGTGTTATTGTCTCCCTTTCTTGTGTTTTATTCCAATTAAAACACCTTATCAGTCTAATATTGTATAAGTCCAATTGGTTGTCACAACATATACAAAATCATGGTTTTATTATAACTCACCTTAATAAGAAAATCTTACAATATGTACATGAAATTAGTAGCCTCAGCTACCCATGTAAATTACCTAACAGTACCCTAAAGTTTAAAGCAAAGATTGATAACCACCTTTTTTATGTTTTGATGATTAATAGTAATGGCAGCACTCTTATTAGGTGTTTTCACATTAAAGTTGAATATATATTTGGTATTCACATATACTATTATCATCAGCATGCGCAACGGCAAACTGTATTTGTCTATCAACACATAATTAAATGAAATTATTTTTTTTCATGGACTGCAAGCAGTATTTCCAGTTATATATATATCACCTTAATTCTAAACTTCCGGGAGCTTCTAATCCATGAAGACAGGATGATGGGAAGTAAATGCTCTTTTAAAGCTATATGAAGCTGGCAAGAGATGACCAAAACCCTAATATTTGATTTTATTAGGGTTTGTTCGATCTAACAAAACCTTGCATTAGTAGTCTAACAAAACCTTGCATTAGTAGTCTAACAACGATAATCCCTTAACCTAATCCTTGCATTAGGGTTTTTTTTAAGGTTATTAAACCCTAATTAAAACCCTTCTTCTTGTTCTTCTTCTTTGTCTCTCTTTATAAATAGTTAACAACTTTAATTAGGGAAATGCATTTAAATTTCCATCGCTGGTGCTGCATGCAGCACACGGTTATATTGTTTTTTGGGTTACACTCACATTTATTCTTTTGTCTCGGATGATGAATAATTAAATCTCACATATAAATGTATCTCAAGATTTGCTGCAGACATGCATTTTCTGCAAAGATGCATGCAGGAGATTATGGTCTACCTGTTGCTTTCAAACAATCCGTATACATAGTTAATAATTAGTACTCACTATGAGCTCGCTGTTATCTGCCTTTTTTTATTTGAAGATTTTGAAATATCTACCTCGAAGCCATAGACCCTCCTTCATTGGTTTGAATTCTAAAAGCTTTAACATTGGACTAAACATGTTCAAACTTTGGCTCCGTTTCATAGCTTGGTTAACTATTAAGAAAAGTCCCAAGTTCATATCCCTTTTCATCGTACTGAAATGTTGCGGCTAGAATGTTAATGTTAGAATGAAATTTCTTTCATGTTTTTTGACCCAATACCAGTTAAATTCTCATACCCAACAAAGAAATGACATTCTTATTGATTGGAATTGCTTGGTATTTCTTTGGTACAAAACTACAATTAAAACTCAGGCTTCTGAGAGTCGACAGGCTTTAGTCGAAGTCGAGAGACTTTCTCCTATGAATTTAAGTTCAAATTGCTTCTTTAAAGTAAAATTTTGCTTGGATTGTGAAATAAGAAATAGTAACGATGTGTTATAAGCCATAAATACAAACAAACAGAATACAATACAATGAGAAATGAGAAATATTAATGTCACACTTGTAAGTGTATTAACAAAAACAAACAAACACAATACAATGAAAATAAAATTAATAATAATACAAAATGTGATGTTACTCCAAATAGACCAAAATGATTGGTGATGTATTATTAGCATTATCATTTAAATTAAACGAAGACAGAAAATAAGAAAGAGTTTAAATCTGTAACGCAACAACACGAAGATAAAAGTTAAGAGATGTGCTATCCACACACCTTATTTTACTTCTCACACACCTCTTGATAATTTTTGTCCGTTGATATTTTTCAATTCATCAGATTCGACGGTCAAAAATTAAAAAAAAATGTATAAAAAGTAAAATAGGTTAGATGGATATCACACCCCAAATTAAATGTACGCTTGGGAAATTTGACATATTTACTTTTATTTTTGTTTAATTGGTAAACAACAGTAAACACAGACACGTAGACATCAATCATGAACATCAGTATAAAAAGCATTAGACCACTCCACTACAAAAAGTACAAGAAACAACAAAACACTCGGGCATTATTATATACGAGCACCGAATGAACCAGTCAGGCGGTGCCCATTGTCGTGGCCGGAAAGCTTTGACTTACCGGCACCGGAATTACGAACCTCCGCAGAGTCCATTTATTCACTGGAAGTTTGACAACGAAAAAACCACTGGCGTCGTCCGGGCCTCGGCTCGGAAGCTCGCCGCGGGGCTGTGGCAATTACGCTTTAGCGAAATCTCATGGGATCAGAAGATCAAATTCGATGCTTGCCCTTCTGATCCTTCTCCTCCTCAGCCTCAGGTGATTCTGATTTATTTTCTTGTCTTTTTTGTTTTGTCAAAAAATTATTTTTTGAGTATTTGGTAGTGTGGTGACTGTTATATGTATTTTGTAATGTAGAGTTGTATATGAAATGGTTATTAATTGTACGTAGCATTGTTTTCTGAACTTTGGCTGATGTTTAGACTAGGTCAATGAATTAAAAATCCCTTAATGCTATTATTAACTAAAGGCTAGTTTTATTTCTCGCCACTTGTTAGTGAAAAAGTCTGTGTTTTTACTTGTATTATGAGTTTGATAACTAATGTTTCGTGTATTGCATGGTTTAACCTAAATACTCAGTAGAATATCGTTATATCAAAATAAAAACCCATAAGTCCTTGCTCAAGGTATATAAACAATGTGGAGCATTAGTCCTAGCTAGAGATTGTTTCCGTTTATATTTTTAGGTTAGGCATTCTTTTGTTGTTTTTAGGTACTTAAGAAAATGACTACACTTAAATCCTTTTTTTTTTTTTTTTTTTTAAGCTAAGGGTTACACTTTGAAGAAATTCAATAATGTTTTGAAATTATAGGTTAAAGAATTGATCTTTGAAGTTGGACTCATGAGTTCTTGTTACCATGTCATGAAAATACAAAAAATCACGGTGCCGAAACGAAGCATGAGCTACAAAGCTCTCAATTAGGTTCAAAAAACTAAGTTATGTATCAAATGTTATCTGTCCTTTCTCACTCAATGGTTTATGCCTTGAATTGATTATAGTCCTTCGTACTAGACTGAATTCATAGGGTAAGGATTGATCTTTTCTCAACTTTACGCTACTCGTCTGAATTATGCAAAAGCTAAATATTTGAATATACCCTTCAAATTTAAGCTAGAACTTACCAAGATATAAAAATTATTTCAAAATTCAATGCCTCAAATTTAAGCTTCTAACAGTTATGTATCATTTTCTTTTGATTTTCTAGGTTGAATCGTCTTTGGCATATACCAAATGTGCATCGGAGAAGGCAACAAAGTGGGATCATGGCTGCTCAGGAGAATCTGATGACATCTATCAGTTTTACAGCCATATGAAACTTCTCGAAGATTGTCAAGTTACTACTCGTTCTATGGCACCGACTTTGAATGCAGAACTAGCAGAGGCTAGATTATGCATTCGTGAGCTTCAAGCTAAGCGACAGTCATTTAAGATGAAGGTCAAACACATTTTGAGGAAGCTTGAAGAGGAAAGAATCTCTTGGCAAACCAGAGCTCACTGGAACAATCATGCTATTAAAGACCTGAGGGAAGAATTAGGAAGGGAAAGGAAACATCGTCAGCAGATGGAAAATGTTAACACCAATCTGGTAGATCAGTTAGCTGGTGTCAAAGTGTCTGCAGAGCAGTTATTGAAAAAATACGAGGAAGAGAAGAAAAACAGAAAATTCATGGAAGAAGTTTCTGGTGAACTAGCTGCACAAATTGGAGAAGACAAGGCCGAAGCCAAGGCATTGAAGAGAGAATCGATTAGAATTCTTGAAGAAGCTGAGGAAGAGAGGAAAACGTTTCATCTAGCAGCGGTTTGGCGTGAAGAGCGGGTCCAGATGAAGCTGATCGATGCAAAACTAGCTCTTGAAGATAAATATTGTCAGCTGAACAAGCTGATAACAGATGTCGAAACTTTCTTAAGGTCAAAGTTTGGAACCCTGGATATGGCGGAGTTGAGAAAAGCTGAGTTGATCCTACAGGAAGTTAAGTCATTGAATGTTGACACTGAGGAATTTTCTTACCTTCCTCCAAACTCAGATGAAATATACTCGCATTGCAAAGATCTCCAACAATTTGAAGGAAATGATAGGGAGATTGAACCATGCGTTTGTCGCAGTCCATCTAGCCATAATTCCACTGTCCATCCCATGAATCCGGAGGATAATGGGTTCAACAAAACTTATTTTCCAATGCAGTTGAATTGCTTTAGTGATTATGACAGTTGTTATGGAAATGCGGGTTTGGATAACATGAGTCGTGCCGAGGATCATCATGAGGGTTCTTGTGATTCATTGTTAGCACGCAATACCTCCGTTAACAAAGTTGGCCAGGCCAAAAATGTATCGAGGAGAAGTGAACATAACACCAATGTTGGTCAATATTCTCCAGATAGGGAAATCAGTGAGGTGTGCTCACCATCGGAGAAGCAATCAAAGAAAAAGGCATCTCCTACATCTATGATATCATGTCCAAGCAATGGTGAGTTTCATAAGATAGTTTTGGATGAGGGTGAAAGGAGGCTTTCGAATGGGATTACTTCACGTCAGGGAACAAAGGCATATCGAGGTTTGTTTCAACAACGAATTGAACAATGGATCCCAACAGACATAGCGAATCCACACATAACTCGAGGAAAGAGAGGGTCCATTGAATGGCCGCGAACCGTCCAAAGGAATTGTTCAAAGGCCAAGCTTTTGGAAGCAAAAATAGAAAGCCAGAAATCTCAGTTGCGCCATATTCTTAAACAGAAGATTAAGTGAATTCGGTGTTCGGTGCTCGAAATTTTGTTCAAGTTCCATTCGAACTATGTGGCTGATGCACTGCATATTCCTCCACTTTAAGGTACTGCACATCATCTGCCATGCCATATATCTTTTGAGTAGCAGAGTGAGTGTTGGGGGAATCTCTAAACTTTAAACAGCCAAAATACCTGCTTTTGGAACCCATAGATCGAAATACTAATGAAAGTATGTAGCTTATAGAACAGTACACAACTTGTTTTCCTTTCATCACAATGAATGTATGTTATTTTTGCCAAAAATGCAAGAGAAGAATGTATTTAAGCTCATCAATCATTTATATTATCTAAATGGTTCAAATCTTCTTCTCCGTAGTTTAGAGTCTTTAGACGAATGTCTCAAGACTGTAACAACTTTCTTTTTTTCATACATACCCACCCACAAACCAACCTTCAAGGCCACTTCAGATTTGGACCATTTATTACACCTTTTTGAAGATCAATTGAAACAAAGCTAGTTTATAGTCTTCGAATTAGAATCTCAACCAAAGAACCACATTGTTGAGTGCCAATTCCCATTCGCCCATCCTTATTCCCTCTAACGACTCGAATTGTCACTTGTTCGTGTCACTCACGGAGCGTGTAGCACCATGTTGGTAAAAGAACATTTACCTTTTTTGCTAAAAAAAAAGAGGAACATTCACCTCTATATCCAAGGTTTAAGTCCTTGTATCAAAAGAAAAGAAAAACAAGTCAAACAGTTACATTGAAAATAAAGTGGGCCGAATTTATTACAATAGCAAAGCCCAATAGAAGTGGGCTGAGTAGTAATAAGTGCATTTGCTTAATGGGTCACTGATAACTTAAACGCTATTGTTTATGAATAAAAATGGGAAGTGTTATTGACACTTCAAAAATCTCATTCTACACTCCTCACAAGTGTATTATTCTTTCTAAGTATAGAAAGTTTGGAGTATAAAATAAGAATTTTGGAGTGCCAATAATAATTCCCATAAAAATTGACATATAATTAGAAAGATTTTTTTTTTTTTTAATAAACAATATTATCTACACTAAAGGGGTTGGAGAGTGACTATAATAATGTGGTTTAAATTCGTCTTTGGAAAAAAATTGAACTTAAGACCTCTCACTTACAAGTGAAGATAAGCATCGTAATTAAACTGCTACTTAGTACTATGGTTTAATGGTATTCCTCTTCACTTGTAACTGAGAGGTCTTAGGTTTGATTCTTGCCAAGGGCAAATTTGAACCAAATTATTGCTAGCCCATTATGAGGCTAAGCCTACCGTTTGTTGAAAAAAAAAAAAAAAAAAAAAAGCGTCGTATTTAAACTTAGAACCTAAAGAGCATGGGTGTATGCCTATATATTTTGGTCTGTTTTTCATATTCGGTGGTTCGGATCAGGAATATAAATACGGAAGATTGATTGCAACTTCTTCAGTCACCAGAACCATAATTTTCGACTCTTTTGCTCTTGATCTGTGTTACTTTTTTGCCCTAGAACGACGCTTTTCTTGCCATAAATAGTATATATATATATATATATATATATATATATATACTTATGTCGCGTTGCTTCATTGTTTGAAAATTTGCAGACATGACAGGAGTAGTCCATAGGAAGATTGAGTATCCTGATCCTGGTTTGCAGACATGGTCCATTGAGGTGTTAGACCCTTGGAATAATAGTTCGTACAAGAGGGCGTTGAATTTAGCTGAATCGTATACGTTTACGTCCTACACCTGCTGTATGTACACTCGTTCTAATTTGAACACCCCTCCCCTCCTCATGCATGTTATTGTGGGAAGGCCGCGGTTGACGATAATTCTGATAGGGGCAAATTATTCCGGTTGACAAGGTTAGTTTCCAATTCCCCTCGTGATTTTATTATCTTGGTTTGTAATGCCTCAGTGGGATAAAGATTTTTTTGTTTTGTTTTCATCTATGCCTTTGCTACTTGCTCAGGCAGTTTGTGGAGGAACTCAAACCGCGTACTTTAAATGTTTGGAAATTGAGGCAAGCGCATCCACATCTTATTCCAGTTAGAGTTCTCCTGCATCAAACATGTTTATCCCCTCCTATGTATTCAGTCTGGTGTAGGTAATTACCATATTACAATTTGAGCCTCAATGCAGGTGAGTGCGGAGACGGATGCAAGGAGAGACGTTCCTGGCTTTAGAGACAAGTAGTTAGTTCCCTTATTTTCTTGGTTGTGTATTGCTACAACGGAATAGGACTTGTCCCCTTCTTGGCATAGGATTTATCCAAGCATATTGCGACAATAGCTACTAATTTTCACGCTCCATATTTTTACGTAAGATTAGCATACAGAAAGGAAAACAAACTTGTTACTACAAAGGCGAACTCATTTGTGTCCATAACTTTCTCTCAAGTGAAGGGGTTCTCAAATGGATTTTATCACCTATCCTTTGCTTTTGAATGCAGATACCATGCCTCATGGAGCATTTGTCAAGCTTATTCTGCTTCATCTCGACGTTATAGGAATCACCGATCCTGTCTTTATGTATTCCAAGAACACCGCTAAACCTCCCAATGGTGAGCAAAGCTGCATTTCTTTTTTTTCAACAAAATATCTTATTCCCAAATTAGTTGTGGTTGTAATAACTCTAATTCTTGCATTGTTACAGAGACCTTGATGTCTGCAACTGACGAGGATGAGGAAAATAAGGTTGAAGATGGATTTCTTCACTTGATATACACTAATGAAGAGGAAGGAGTACCAATTCCAGCGAAGAAAGCTGCCGCAAGGCACAAAAGTCCTTGCAGATTCAAGAGGAGGAAGTTAGTTGTCGATTACATTGATTTAGTTATCTTAATTTGTTTGCTGCAAGGGAAAAAAAAAAAAAAAATCGTCCCCCTCCATTTGTGCTTGTAGGAAAATCGGAATGATTCAGCTTTCAATTCCCATTGGTCTGTTAGACTCCTGGAACCATGATCAATACAGGTAATTAGTTTCCCATTCCATTGTGCTTTATTTATCTTGATTTGTATTGCTACAGTAAAATAGCATTGCTGTTTTTTCATCTATTCGTTTGATTTATGCTCAGTGGTTGTTTGTAGGCGGACAGACCACCTAGACGTAGTTTAGATGCTTGGAAATTGAGGGAGAAGCAACCTGACCATATACCAGTAAGTGTTTCACTGCATTAAATTTGCATATTTCCTCCTATGTTTGGTGGAGGCAATACCGTGCTCTATTTTGAGCTTCCAGTGCAGGTGAGCGTGGAGAAGGACGCAAGTAGTGACATTCCTGGCATTGACATGAAGAAGTTAGCTTCCGATTCGATTACGCTTTGGGTATCTTGATTTGTATTGCAAGAATGGAATAGGATTTGACCCCCTTATTTAGGTACGTATGCTTTTGTATATCATGTGTTACAAATTTTCCTTCAGAAAAAAATAGGGAAGAGAATAAGTAAGATGTATAGCTTGTCTAGGATGAAGGTGGTCTCACATGGTTTTGTCGCCTGGCCTTCGTTTTTTACTGCAGATACAATGTCCATCGTGATATGCGGCTGAGAGAATTTGTTGATTTTAGAATATCGGTTGAGGATTGGGTATGAATCTCCATGGAAAAAGCCTATGTTCGTCTACTTCAAGTACACCGAGCCTCCCATTGGTGAGCATAGCTGCAACACATTTTTGTTTTAGTCCGGCAGTAATAACATCCGTCTTTTTCCCAAGTTAGGTGCGGATGTAAATAACCCTAACTGTTGAATGTTGTTACACAGATACTACCTTGATGTCTGCAGTTGATGAGAAAAACAGGGACGAAGACGGGTTTGTTCACATCACCTACAGTGGAAAGAGAAAGGAGGCTGGACCCACTGAAGAGCTCTGGGTCGGTGATCTGATCTGAGCTGCTTAGATATTTTTAAGATATTTAAAACTGGTCTTTGAGAGATCAATGGCACTGCATTCGACTTTAATGTTTGGAGTTGGAAATGTTTGATTAATTGTTTTTGGCAGTTGGTTTGTGTCTAATTCTGGATTTGTATTCTTTCTAATTTAGCTTTCCAAACCGTTCTTCCCGACGTGGCGGGATGTAATTGTAGGAGTTTGAGATCCTCGTGTCTCACATTGGTCAATAATATTTTTTTACTAGCCCTTATATAGGCTTATTCATTTTTCTTAGCAATTAGAACTTGAACCATTTGAAAATGGATTGAAGGCTTGGGCCTTATAGTTGTATGGATTAGGCTTGATGATTATACTATAATATTAATATTAATTAATCAGGACAAGGGCCAAGGAATTAAAATTAATCTGATCAATTAGTTTTAATTTCGAATTAAGTTTTTAATTAAATTAATTAAAAACGTTTTGATTAATAGACACAACTCTTTGGAAAGAGGTGTATCTCTTTGGAAAGAGTTGTATAGCTTCAGATACATCCAAAAGGTGTTTGAAGAGGTATGAAAGAGCATATATAACTAGAGTCCTCAGTTCGATCAGAAATCATCTTTTTTCTTCCCCCTTGTCTTCTGTACAAAATTTCCAGAGAGTAAACACACAAAGCAATTCGCTAGAGTTCTATAATCCAGTGCGGGTTGTAGAATTAGGTAGTTGTATCCTAGTCGAGCAGACGTTGTAGAACCACAAGCACACGAGTGGGACAGAAATACTGTTCAAAGGACATAGCGATTGCGCTAGCCTCTACCTTCAATCATTCAAGTTAGTATCATTTTAATTTTTTGTTACTATAACATAATTGCATTCTGTATTACAAGTATTTTTTAATAATAAAGTATAAGTATTTCGGTTCTGTATTTCTGTTATTTTATTATTTCTAAATTGTTCTCTAACAACAGTAATTTCATATAAAAACCTCATTTTCTCTCAGTCAGTCAGTCATCTTGTTGCATTAGCCGTTGCAGATGCTTGGTGAATGCTCATTTAAACATGTCCTATTAAAGAAGGGCAGCCACGAAGCACTTTTTTAAAGGTTGCCCAGATGCTATCTTCTATATCTATAGGGGAGGACTGCAGTCCGGCTGGCCTTGTCACAAAATCAATCTGTTTGCGCATCAATTCTTCGAGCTGGGATCGCAGCTTGTCGTCCCTCAGTTGTTTTTCTTGTCTCGAGAAATTTTTTTCAGACTGTATATTCCCTTGTTCAATTTGGTTTTACGTAGCTTTATGCTTCTAGACTAAAAATATGTTGGTTATAAATCGATTTCATATGTTGAAACAGTAGGGTTTATATTGGCGATGGTGAGTAGTTACATAAAGATGAAATGCACTTTCTAGTTTTTCTTTACTTTTAAGATTCTACAATGTAGTTGATGACTAAATTTCAGGGTCTTGGCTCTTTCTAAATACCTAAGGTGTGTTAGAGAGTATGTAACACCAATAGCCAAACCTTGTGAGTTGTTTTGACTCGCCAAATCCTTCAACTTCCTCTCGCTTGTTTATCATTTTGTAAACCACTTTCTAAATAGGAAAATGTTACTAAATTAAGAGAATAAGCCCTGACAAATGTAATCAGCCTGCTAATATAAAATTAAGGTCAAACAACTTGCTAAAAACACAGATTAAGAATTACAGATGATGATCATAAACAACATGAGCAAGGCAGGTTTGGTTCGTCCTCTGATGTTTGACATTTCTGGATCGAAAGAAGACTATGATCGATGCCCGCGAACGTTCGATCAATCATTCGTTTTGGACGAACAAGACCTGTGGTCCTGCAGTTCATAATTGTACAAACAATTCCCACCAGTTGATGATGATCAAGAAATTGACTGGCCAGCATTGTCACAACCACAAGTCTTTGGCATCGATCGTGTCATGCAAGTGGGACGATCGATCTACCATGTTCACCACTAATAACTTCATCGAAGTGTAGGTATACTTTCTTTCAACTGTCGTTACAAAACTGGCAAACTGCATACACCAAATATACAAAAGTATTCACTTTGAAATCATCGATATTGATCACATGGAAAAACTAGAAGGAAAATGATTTTTTGCAGACTATTTTTTCTACTTGCACATTTATTTATTTTTGGTCTTTGATCAAATAAATCAAAAGAAAATCGATAGCATAAATAATTATATAGAACTTGGTGTGCAAAACAAAAAAATGGTGTACGGAATTTATTTCTCAAATCAAATCTACTCACATGGCTGACCCGAACATCGACACGCATGATTGTAACAACTCAAACAACAAGAAATGATGGGTCCTCTCTTATCGTTTGATGCATACGAAGCATAAAAACAGCCTACCACCTGAGCTTGCTGCCAATCAACAATAATAATGTTCACAATAAAATTTTATCAGCATTGAATTTTTGTGGTAAACTTCCTCTTGAAAAATGGTTGAGCGTGACCTATATTTCCTTCCATCTCTGCAGGTTGAAAACGTTGTGACAGAGATAGAAGATTGAGGAACAAGAAGAGATCCATTAAGAGAGAGATTTATCCGAGAAAAAATTTGATGGATTATCTTCCAAACTTTGCCTCAATAATTGTCTTTGCAATAATCTTCCTACTACTTTGATTCGCTCACTTTCCCTGGTTTTTTGGGTTACATGCAAGACATGAATCGAACTCGTACCTAATACCTATATTAATCTCAACCGCACTCATCTTCATGTGTTTTCATTTGCTACTAATTAAGTCGTGATTTTGTTACTAAACTAATTACAAAACCTTGATTAAAAAATCTTACATCCCAGTTGAAAATCTCAGTGGATACAGTAATTTTGCTCCAATGATTGGAGATTTCTATAAGACAAAATGGTTAGGTAAATAGAGTCTATATATATATATGTGTGTGTGTGTGTGTGTGTGTGTGTGTGTGTGTGTGTGTGTAAAGTATCTGGTATTTTATGCAACTTGAGTTTCAAATTGGAGCACCAAGTTGGCCAAACGTCACAACGATGAAGGGATGGTTTAGCATGTGTTGGTTCAACTTGAAAACGAAAAAGGTATTTTAAAGGCTAAAAGCCAACAAAAACAAACCAAACATCTTGTAAAAAGGGAACATAAATTACGCTCTAGCTTTACAGCTTTCATGTGTAGAAGATGATACAATTTTGTTCCTGCAAGTGAACAAAAGGGATGATCAAATATGTTCTCTTTTGAACTTCGTAAACATAGAAATATCACTATTGCGTTAAAAAGTTAAAATACATAACAGTAGAAGTACTTCATCAAACAACCTCAAGTTAAGAAAAAGGGTAACTTCGATAATGAGCAACAAAAGCTTGCTGGCTCTGCAAGTATCTCTAATGCACGAATAGCATGTTCTTGGCCGACCTGACAACCCAAAGCCTCCTCTACTAACCGACAAAACCTCCAACAGACGCTCTTTGATTCTTCTCCTTATATAATTCTGTGTTAGGACAAGAATCCCATGTTATATTAATCCTAAAGGCCTGACTTTTTCTTGCCTTACAATAAAATAATATCCCACGATTCATATCCCTACTCCCTAGCACAATCATTCCTCAACCTTTTGATTCTCTGGATCTAATTAAAAAATGAAATACATATCATAGTAATTTGAATTCCGAACCAAAAATTTGTTAAGTGTAATCGTTTCACTCTTTCATTTCATCTCTCTTTTATCATGTGAGATGGAGATAGTGAAACAGATATATACATGGCAGATTGGCATAATCTCTTGCCAAATTGAATTTAAACAAAACTAGCTTGACGAGAAAAACGGTTGTGGTACATGAGATTATGTTATAACTTTGTGCTTAAAGCACTCATTATATGACCATGTTACATGATAAACGTCTTTAAGTCATATGACAAGCATTGTACTATATAAATACATCGAGATGTATCCCTAGCAATATTAGGCTTCGCAAACAGGTTGTTTTTGTCGTATTCGTCTCATTTTCATGTTATACTCGTAATCTTAACAAGTCGTGTCGTGCAAAACCTGTTACCTTAATTGCTTCTTAAAATGTGATTGATAACAACTAGATTAATTAACGTTTCGTGTTGTATCATGTTAGATTAACAGGTTATGCAAGAAATTGTTGTACATAATGTCTAAATCTGGCCTACCTAGCAATTGGTAAGATTCTTTCCATCTCGACACCATGAAATCAATCATATGCTAAGCACTCATTAGGGTTTTTATTAATTTGTTTTAATTAACTTTGTTTATGGCGGTGGTGGCTGATTAATTAGTGGCAGGTGGGATTCGGATTCTTATTTTCTTACAGAATTGAGACACTCACACACACACACCAAAACAAATGTCGTTTGTTTTTAGCAATGGAAGAAAGGATGCAATGCATGACGTGATATGGAGGGTTGTGATGTGATAATGGTTGATATATTTCTGGGTTGTCAATTGTCATGCTTGATATAAAAAGAAAAACAGTGGCGGGGGCCATGCGAGTTTTAGGGTTTTTTTTGTACTTGTCAAATATTCCAATTTTCTTAACGTCATTGATTTTACAGAAACGACGGGTTCCCTATCATATTGGATGGTTTATACACTGCATCGAACCTGAGAATGTTAGAGTCAGTCGTGAACGAGTGTTTCTTGTTGGTGAGTGCAGACAAGTCTTGTAGTCTAGTTTGCATATATCAACCATCATAAAACTATGCAATCGTCCACTCACGATTAGTCATGGTACAATCTTAGTTGGAATTCGTTCGAAACTATTTAGTTTTCAATCACTCTATTCGTTTTCTCATTTATTTCACATATTTTTTTCCTCTATTTATAGCACAAAATATAAAAACTAATAACTAAAACAAAATGTTTAATTATCACCATTAGCAATACAGTTGAGTCCAATAAGAGTTCTCATATGCGACTCCTATAACTTGCAAGTTCAGTGCCTAATTTATGTGATTTAGCCCAAATTTCCACTCTAATATCATTTCATATGAAAAACTAAATGATTATATCAAATTCCAAAATTAGTGATTAATTATTTACCGTTATATAAATTTCAAATTTCCGTCAATTAGTACTACGGTCTAGTGGTATTCCTCTTCACTTGTAAGTGAGAGGTTTTAGGTTCGATTCTCGTTACGGACGAATTTAAACCACATTATTTGTTAGCCCATTATAGGGTAAACCCCCCTATTTTCTTAATATAGATAATATTGTGTGTTTAACAAAAAAATAATAATAAAATTTCCTAATGAAGCTAAGCAGCATAGGATACTTGATGGCAATGAGAGGTCCATCACAATGCAGAGTTAGGTACTTGGGGTCCGGGTGCACCAGTAGTGAACCCATCTCCACGGGCCATGGCTAGCGGGTCCCAGACAAGGTCGGATCACTGAAAGCCCAGGGTCCTCACCCCCACAAAATCCCACATAAGGGAGAGAGATCCGCAGTAGTACCACACAAAAGGGGGAGGAATCCGGATCCTCACCGTATTCTCTTTGAAATAATTTTCAGAAATTTATGAATCGTGTTCGTTCATTGTACATTATGTGGTCAGAAATTATTTTAATTTTTTATCTAAATTAAATACAAATAATATTTAATAAAAACTGACTGCACGATATATAATAAACGGATTTGATTCACAAATTTTCAAAATCATCACAAAAAGAATCCGGATATCATCCTGTTGGAAGGGGGAGAGACACACAATAGTACCTCATAAAAGGGGAGGGGGGTCCTCCATTGATAAATATGAAACATCATCAACCCCTATCCTTGCATGGTCCAAGTGGATAACAAATGCAAATTTGATTGTTATGAAAAAAATTTAATGACGTGATTTATCAAATCTCATAAATAGCAACTTTAGTATTAAATTGTCAAACCATGACTGATAAGCGAGACCACATCACTTGCTAAGTGAGACATCAACCGCTAAAAGTGACACAAACAAGATCTACACTAATCACATAATGGAATCCACTCATCGACTCATCTTCAATGACGACTTTACCGCTTATGTGAGATCTATCACTATTGTAAGGCGAAGCCGCCACGATTCGTCAAGAAGAGTAATTCCAACCTGAAAGTCAAACCATAAGAGGGGTTCCAACCCACCAACAGTATCCATGGAGAGAGATAAAATGGAAAAAAGAGGTGGATCGTCGGAAGAGTGATTGAGGAGAAGGGGACGACAGGAGGAGGTGGGGGTGTAGGGATGAGGAGGTGCATAAGGGGTTTAGGAAGAGAGGAGAGGCTAGGAAGACGGGGGGAGAGGCTGTCACCAGCCCCCAGTCGGTGGTAGAACTTGGTTGCAGATCTAGGGTTTGCTTTTGGAGAGAGAAAAGGAGGCATGGGGAGTAGAAAAAAGTACTAAAAATTATTTCCATCTTTTAATATAAATATATCGTTGTATAAAAATAATAATTGATGTGACCGTGAAAATGAGTGCCTATGGAAAGTTAACATAACCATAGTACTTTACCAAGAGAGTTGAATGATGTTGTACTTATTGCGCAACTTCCATCAATTCTCATTTGTTAATCGTTTGAGAAAAAATAATTTACAGTAGGGTGAATGAACATGTTATTCTTGTAAAAGAACGTGTCCCCTTACATTTGAGTATCATCTAACTCATGTAAGTACAACATTTAATTTACGAGTTATGTTTAAAATGATATGATCAGATACATTATTACCGTGCCCTACCGAAAAGTTTTCTCATTGGCTTTCAAGATTTGTCCGATAACTTTGCCTGGAATTGCTAGATATGTACTGAAAATATGCACAATACAAAGTCACGACGATATTCTGGACATTTTTTATTGTGACGTGCACCATACACACAAGTCATGATGAGTTTTAAGAATATATATGGTCAGCTGGTTCTAGAATCCTATTATTTTAATACCAAGCATACGTACTCTTTCTTTCACTCAAATTGCATCAAATTAGTGATTCCACCGTAAATTTAAATTGATTTTTTTTTATTAAATTGAGTCTCGACAGTTTTAGTCCAGTAATGTTGTTTTTCTAAGGTTAATAACCATTTATAAAATACTTAATTAATTTTGTCTCTCGACAACTGATAATGTTAGTACAATTCCACTTGGATACACATTTTTTTTTTTCAAACGGGACTTTAAGTGTAATTTTAGTGTAAAACGAAATTTGAAAAGACACATTTTTAAAATGAAAAAGGAAAACCCCCCTATATAATTGGATGTAATTTGTGAAGCTCCATCAAATTTGGGCCTTTTGATTGTGAAATCTTGGGACAATGAATGGTGATAAAGCTTCACTTGTATACTTCAAAAACGACAAGTCGTTGTTGGACCCCACTATTGTATTCTGGACCGTCTAATATGGACTTCACAGAGACTTTGATTTTTCTATCCCAAGTGGAGATTTAATTAATCTAAACCACAACAATAAACTTGATTAAAACCCCTAAACCATCAATTATGCATACGCTAATTTTCTGGTCACCATCATTACCCTGTCCATTAGTGAATCCAAAAATGGTGACGAAACTGAAGTGCCACTATAAATCTTTTCAATGTCCAAAATAACTTCATAACAAGACCACAAGCTAATTTCCTCCTAAAAAAAATCATTAGCCTCCCCCCACCACGTACTAAACCTTTTATTTACTTTATTTTTAACTGGTGAAATTATTTGGCTGGCAACTGTTCGACCACGTGGCATCGATGGAGACCCTGAAGGCGGGACCCGCAGGTGTAGAAGCACCCACGTGGTGGGCTTTTAGAGGAGGACGTGTCCACGTGGAATGTGAGCAGTTTGTGTTATATGCATTTGTCATTTGACGTAGTCAAACAAGTTTAGCGGTGGGGGCCCGCCGCATACTGTAGAAGGAATTCCGACGTGGGTGGTTTGTAGTTTCGCATAAGAAAGCGCGTTCCTAACAATCACCAAAATGAGATTATTTATTTAATTATTATTATTTGTATACATTCCTATATATTAATTAAATTGAGAAATTGAACACATGATTGTTTTGTTTTAATTTCTTTGTATCAGGGAAGGGTTCGAAACAATTATAAGAATTTAGGGTGGAAAGAGGGGGAGAGTTTGAAACTATTGCAAGAATTTAAGAGAGCAGGAGTTTCAAACCCATAATGCGTAAATAACAATTCAACACTCTATTCATTATGATATTTGACCACACAATGCAACACATGATTTGGATTACATAGAAACCAAATATATAACTACCTAAACTTGATTTTATCTGGAAAACAAAAAAAAAAAAAACGTGTTGGGTTTGATTCTTAAATCATCTAAAATTTTCATATAGCAAGTTATGGTTCGACTTTTAGCATTGGTTAACGCGCACGATCTTGATCTAGAGGGGCTAAAATGCATTTATGACCATTTCTGAAGTGAAAAAAAAACTCAACTCCATAAAGTAAGGAACAAAACCTCCACACGGGTTGGCGGGAGCGCGTATAATGGAAGAACGATCCCATTGAAATCTCCCTGTTCTTTTTACAGTTTCGTGTACTTGTTGGCGTTTTGTAACATCATCACCATGCATATGAAATGCAGACAAAATGACACCCAAATTCTAATTCAAATTCAATGAAATGAATTATTATTATTATTATTTTTTTTTTTTTGAAAATGCTATCCATCTACTATATATATACATGTCCACCCCTCCGATGCCCAGCTTATGCGTAAGCCTATAATAAATTGATCAATGGAATTGTAAATTGGGTTTCGTGGGTTCTCTCCTTTCCTCAATTGGGTCGCCGGGAATTCTCGATTCCGTGGCCGGAATCCGATTGATTATGACATATGGCGAAGGGACGGAAACTGACGCAGAGCCGCAGCGAACGGTTGCTCGGGACCTACGGCAGCTACAGCCACGCACATGACTCGCCGGAGCTCGGCGAGGACGATGTCTGGTCGATGGTCAACAGCGTCGACGAGAGGGAGGACCACGAAACCGAGAATTTGCAGGGAGAGTGGAGCCCACGCGCCGTCCCCGAGAGCAACGGGGGTGTTCAGGTGCGGAGAGGCCACCGAATTCCCAGGGACGATCACAACGTGGGCGGGCTGTCATTGGCGTTCGACGATTCCGGTAAAACGGTGTCGTCGCCTGGGATCGTGCACCAGTTCCGCGGGCACGACAGCATGGCTTCCCCAGGTGGGCACCACATGGCCACGTCAGCTCCCGTGAACGTGCCCGACTGGAGCAAGATTCTCCGGGTCGACTCCGTGGACTCGCTGTACGACATGAACGACGGCTTGGATGGCAATGACTCGGAGGTTATTCCCCCACACGAGTATCTGGCGCGTGAGTACACGCGAGGCGCGACGTCGGTTTTCGAAGGCGTTGGGCGGACCCTGAAGGGGCGAGACATGAGGCGGGTCAGGGATGCGGTGTGGAGCCGGACCGGGTTTGATGGATAATTTGTGATTAGTGATTAGCATTAGGAAATTAAGGAGGTTTAATTATTGTTAAAAATGATTGATTTGGGACGTAGGGATGTTTAATTATTGTTGTGAATTGGTAAATTTTCGTTGGGCAATGATTCAGCCGAGTCAGATGGACTCGGACTCGGACTCGGTTGGGAGTGAGCCCAATTTGCCCAAGATTTTGAATTCTGAACGTAGGATTTAGGCCCTTCTTGGTCTTTTTACTGTAATGCGTTGAAATTTCGAAATCGGTTTGTGTTAGCGAAGCATAATAGGCAAATTCATGGTGCACTTTGAAGAGTTTTGTTTTCGATACCGCTATTTGAAAACATAAAATTAACCAACTTACTAACGCGCACCATCTAATAGAAGTGACCTTAACCGGTCGCCGTATGTGGAGTTCACATGTATTTAGAAATATATGAATAAATCTATTAATTTTGTGCAGCTAAACGACTTTATTTTTGTTTTATGAACCTCAATTCACATAAGTAGGGTAATTAAAAAGGAAGGTCTTGATTATTTTTGTAATTTCATAATTCTTTTTCTATCAAAACATGTTAACATGTTTTATTTTTTTTTCTTTGAATTTTTTTATATGAAATTTGATTCTTTGAGTTAACAAAAATTAGGATTTGTGAGTATTTAATAAGACACTAAGATTTGTACATAGATTATCAAAATTCACACCATCTCCACTTGCTAACAAACACCTCTCAAAACCTAAATTTAAAACTCTTAATAAAAACCTAATCTTAAACTAAACTTAATTAACTGATAAGCGCCACCTAAACATATAACTTAACATCTTAACTATTCTTTAGATAAAATTAACTAGAATTAGGTATTACTAGCAACATGATTAATTCAGTTTGGACGAATGATATATGATGGTTTCATTTTATTCATACATATGAGATGAGATATTGTCAAAATCGTGTCAATGACATTAAAAAATATATATGAAAACTTAAAAAACTATGATTTTGATGACGATAAGGATGACGATGATGAGCATAAAGTGTTGGCCCCGCTGATATCGAAAGCTTAGTGTCGAATCCAAATTCCAAAGTCGAGTCACTTACTAGCTAGTATGATTTTAGTGGCGCCATTACAAAGGTAAAACCAATGGCTCTCATTTCTTGCGAGCGAGCTGTGAGTTCATTGTTGCGTCCCATTTTTGAAAAAGTTGATGGCCCATATGGCTTACTCATTATTTTAAGATACTATCACAAATAATCTCGAAATTGACTTATATCGTCAAGATTGTTATTGAAATTGTGTAGTTTCTGAAAATAAGTGTGCAAATTAATGTGGTTATTCTGTCACAATTTTTAACAGATTTGTGACAGAATGACCGAATTAATTTGTGACACTTAGCCTTAGGAACCATACCGATGAATTTTCAATTTCAACGACCTTCTTAAAAGTATGGATCAATTTTAAGAATTAATGCTCAGTGGTCTTACTAATTGGAGCCCAAATCCTATTGGGTTATCTTGTAGGGCCTATAGTGAGAGCACAACGAAACTGCATAATAGTGGTCATAGACCCCAAGTTCTGCGAAAAGCCCAAATCAGTCATTCAGTCCGTTGCTATGTTTACTTTCCTAAATATGCCACCATTTTACCGTCTCAATTTTTCTCTAATAGACTCCTTTGCATGATAATACGATATTCTAAACTACCGGTTACCATGGTTTAAAAAAGGAGATTAAACCTGGTGTAATGGATGGGATAAACTTAGTATCTTAATCAACTGATCTATTTCGTATATGATCGTCTAGCAGACTTTTACAAGTAGCAAAAATATTTGCGAAATCATTGATTTGGTTGTCCAGGGAAGTTACTTATAATTCCACAATAGCCTTGCTCCAAATACCTTTTGGTTAATCGAACTTTAAATGTGACAAACTTTTTATTAGATGACCCTACGAGTGTGATTATGCAATTTCAAACCCAAATTTCTAGAATGTAAGATGACGTGACAAACTCCATGCTAAACCAATAAGTAGTTCATCCATTGCCCTACATTTTTTTTATGTTGGGTAGTTCTATTTACATGCACATTTTTACTTCTTAAGCACTTCTCTTAATTTTTGACTATCAAATCGAATAAATTAAAAAATATCAATAAAAAAATTTTGACAAAAGTTTATAAGAGGTAAAAATAAATATGAAACAATATCTTTATGTTTCCCACGAATTTTAGTTTCGAAATTATTTTATCTAGCACACATATTTGTTTTCTAGGTCATCTATTATCCAGCACATAATTCACCACCTGGAACCACACACCTGTATGGCTCGATCAAGTAAGTCCACATCATTCCATTCATTTTCACATGATTTTTGGGAGGCATATTGTCTGCCCTCCTGTTTGGGTGCCTTTTCTATTCCTTCTTATTTGTGCAGTCACGGTTAAGCCACGTTAACATTTTATATTCCTATTATTTTTTGTCTTATTATCTTTATAAAAAATCAATATAAAATATTGACGTGGCTTAACCGTGACTGCACAAAATAAGAGGGGATGGGAAGGACACCTAAACAGAAGGGCAGACAATCTACTTCCTGATTATTGGCATTGGCTTTTGTTGTGGAATCATGTGTATAACGAGTAACAAAAGATTTTATATTTAAATTTCGTGGATGGCGAGTTTGATATCAATTTATTACTTTCGTCTTCTGCTGTATGAATCGTGGATGAGTGGGCACACGAAAAATGATAAGATTAGGAATGAGGATATCTGAGGTAAGTAGGAATAGCCGAGATTGAAGTAAAGATGAGAGAAAATCGATCAAGGTGATTTGGACATATGAAAACGAAGGCCAACAGACGCTCAAGTTAGAAGATGCAATTACGAGACAGAAGTTCAGGGATGAAGTGGTAGAAGAATACCTAGAAAGACTTGGAAAGAGATTCTCAGAAAAGACATGGAGTACTTGAATCTAATGAAAGACATGACACATAATCGAATGAAATGACGTTTTAGAATTCATACAATCGACGTCACTTAGTAAAATAAACCGTTGTTGTTGTTGTTGTTTGTCTCTGCTGTATTATATTGTTATATTAAATAAATAAACAAGTGATCCGAAGAAAAGTAAAGGGAGGCAGATTCTCTGCCTTCCCACTTCATGTGCCTTCTTGTGCTTTCCTGTTTTGTATGGTCACGGTTAAGGCACGTTAACATTTTATATTGTTTTTTTATAGAGATAATAAGAAGAAAAAAAAATAGTAATATAAAATATTTACGTGAGTTAACTGTAACTATACAAATAGAAGGACACAGAAGTGAGAAGGCGGAGAATCTGCCTCTAAAGTAAAGTAGTTTGCTTTAGTTTTTGCCCCTTCTAACTATCGCTTTTGCTGTACTATTCTTATAACACGTCTTTGACGTAATGTCAAAAATCCCGATCCCACCGCTTCTGTTTCACGCAAAGAAAAGCAGCCAAATTTAATTCACTTGGTTTGGACTACTGAATTTCAGCTCCGTGTCAGCACGCAAAATTCAAACCTCTTCCATGTAGACGATAACTATGGTCGAACCTTGATCTGGGTTTTGCTTGAATTCCTCAAATATCAGATTTTTGGGTTGTCTTCGATTCAACATTTCATCGTTAGCCTTTTGTTCGTCGATTCAAATCCGCCACCAAATTCCCAGAATCCTGATCGGAAAATGGGTTGCCACAGCAGCAAAGAGAATGCTCCGAAACCCGGTTCAAAGGGGTTCGGGTCATCCCAGCCTTACCAGCAGCCGCAGACGGCTGCTCAGCCTCAGAAAGTCTCATCCCAACAACCCAATAACCCACCACCACCTCCGCGACCACAGCCCCAGCAGAGGGCACAGCCAGCGCCCCAACCAAAGGCACAGCACCAGCAGCCAAGCCCTCCTCCAGTAAAACCGGCGCCGTCTCCGAATAGCATTCTGGGGAAGCCCTTTAACGACATTAAGCAGTACTACACACTCGGCAAAGAACTGGGCAGGGGCCAATTCGGTATCACATACTTGTGCACTGAGAACTCCACCGGCCACTGCTACGCCTGCAAGTCGATCCTGAAACGCAAACTTGTGAGCAAAAACGACAGGGACGACATCAAGAGAGAGATTCAGATTATGCAGCATTTGTCTGGGCAGCCAAACATTGTGGAGATCAAGGGGTCTTATGAGGACAAGTACTCTGTGCATTTGGTGATGGAGCTCTGCGCCGGAGGGGAGCTTTTCGATCGAATTATAGCGCAGGGACAGTATTCGGAGAGGGCTGCCGCTGCGATTCTGCGTGACATTGCGAATGTTGTGCACATTTGTCACTTCATGGGCGTGCTGCACCGTGATCTCAAGCCGGAGAATTTCTTGCTGTCTAGCAAGGATGAGAAGGCAATGCTGAAGGCAACGGATTTCGGGTTGTCTGTTTTCATTGAGGAAGGTGAGTTGCATTGATGTTAATGGTCTATGTTCATTGTTCATACAAGTTGTAGAATTTAGAACTAGAAAGCTATGAATTTGATTATGGAATTTCGATTTGTTTGATATACGCAAATGTGTTTTAAAATCTCCAATTTTACTAGTTTAGTTTGCTGTAAATTGTTATTCCTCTAGTTTAGTTGCAGATGTTATAATGGTAAGAAGTTACATTCCGAACCGAAAGTTGTGTAGTTTACTGGGAACTGAAAATATGATTGCCTGTTGATTTTAGTCAAGGTTTAAGTAGTAAGAGTGGTCAGCCTGCGCCATTTCCTACCTTACGCGGTCTAGCTAATCGAATTATGATGTTATACACTACTTTATTCCTTTGTAAAGCTTTTCGAAAATTTCATTTTCATTTGACTGTTTTGCTTCAGTCAAGTATACAATAATCTGAAGTTTTAATCTAGTGGATAAATTCTAATGTACAGTGACACCTGCTTTGTCCTCATCTCAGGAAAGTATACCGTGATATAGTCGGCAGTGCTTACTATGTTGCCCCTGAAGTCTTGCGGCGTAGTTATGGAAAGGAAATAGACATTTGGAGTGCAGGAGTCATTCTGTATATTCTACTCAGTGGTGTACCTCCATTTTGGGCTGGTAAATATGAATTCAATGTATTCTTGCTAAACATTCACTGTTCTCTTAGGTTGTAGTTGTCTTATCAATATATCTTGCTCTTTACATTGCAGAAACTGAGAGGGGTATATTCGATACCATATTGGAAGGAGTAATAGACTTTGATAGTCAACCGTGGCCATCAATATCAGACAGTGCTAGAGATTTAGTTAGAAAGATGCTGACACAGGACCCAAGAAAGAGAATTACTTCTGCAGAAGTTCTCGGTATGTTACCTCGTAGATACTATTTTAGCTGGATTGAAAGTTACAACAAAGTAAAACATGTTGTATAACATATAATCTCCAGTGATAATTTTCCTCTGTCTGATTTATAGGCCATTCTCCTCAAGTGTTTCTTTGTTATAAACTCTTTGAAATGACATCTTTTTCATTTGCCTATGAAATGGCATGATAGAAATTAGGCCTTGTGCTGGCATTCAAGGTATAATCCAATGTTTAGTTTTTTTTTTTTCTTCCAAATTTAGCAGTTAAATAGAAGCTGAAAGGATAAATATACATGCATTGCAATAATTGACTTTTAGCCACATTGCCCTTATTACCACCAGCTTTTGTTTTGTCAGGTGCTTTTGACTGATGTTTAATATTCTGTATGGTCAGAGCACCCGTGGCTCAGAGTAGGCGGAGTAGCATCAGACAAGCCAATAGATAGTGCAGTTCTCTCTAGAATGAAGCAGTTCAGGGCAATGAATAAGCTCAAGCAACTTGCTTTGAAGGTAATTTTTCGGACTATGTTCAGAAGCTCCTATCTCGCTCCTATCTTCACCCAATATTGGCAAAGTTTCCAGAGAATTCCTTCTTACCTTAACTGTCTTATTCCCGTAATAATCTTTTTTTCATTTGAAAATTTCCCCCAGGTCATAGCAGAGAATCTATCTGAAGAAGAAATTAAAGGCCTTAAAACAATGTTCACCAATATGGACACTGACAAAAGTGGTACAATAACTTACGAAGAACTGAAGACAGGTTTAGCGCGTATTGGGTCGCGGCTCTCAGAAGCCGAAGTTAGGCAACTCATGGATGCTGTAAGTAGCTACCGATTCCCCAGGAACTCAATTCTGTTGCTTCTTGCAATTTTGTGATTTCTCTGTAACACATTTCAGGCTGATGTCGATGGAAATGGATCAATTGATTACATTGAATTTATATCTGCTACTATGCATAGACAAAGATTAGAAAGAGATGAGCACCTGTACAAAGCATTTCAGTACTTTGACAAGGATAGCAGCGGGTGAGTTGACAAAATTTATTGTGTGATACTTTCTGTATACTAATGTCTTACTGGATTTCTGTTTTTGATCAAGTCAAATTCAACCACTTGATCCTACTGCGTGAAATAAATGACTTCGGATAAATTTCTCGTTATGATCATACTATATGTGTGCTCAAACAACTTTGCTCGTGTTGATTCATAATTTTAGTCTCGACTTGTGAACTTGCAAGCTTAAATGAATCCAACTTGTTTGTCAGGCATAAGGTTTATTAGCTTTTAATATCATGATTTGCAAGGAGCCAAACTGTTTATAAATATATGTTTTCATCACTCAGTCATAAAGCGAAAGTTAATGAAGTTCCTTACCGAGTTGTCAACTTCCACTGACAGGTACATTACAAGAGATGAATTAGAGGCTGCTATGAAGGAGCATGGAATGGGTGATGACAACACCATCAGAGAGATAATTTCTGAGGTTGATGCCGATAATGTAAGTTACTTACGACTTCCAAATATCTGGAACTTTTTCTTAGTCGAGCTTTATACTGATTTACTTTGGACCAAATAGGATGGGAGGATCAACTATTCGGAATTCTGTGCAATGATGAGAAGTGGGGCTCAACAACCAGCAAAGCTCTTTTAATTTCACTAACGGCCATTTCAGATTTTACAAGCGGAAGTGAGTTTAACCGTTGGGTCGTATCAGAGCATTGTTTCCAGGAGGTATGAAGTAAACTAGACCAATCTTGATCCAAAAATGGGCAGTTTGAGCATGTGAAGCTAGAGTTTGGTGTTTTGATAAATCAGGTTGTGTTTCTGTACATCTATTTACTGCTTATCTTTTTTCTTTTTCTTTTTTTTTTGAAGTTCCTGTTCAATCTTGTTATGAATAATTCCTGAATATACTACGATTTTAATTAATTTAAACTGATCTTGCTACGATCAGTCACCCACAGCCCTCGAATTGAGCCCACACTAGAGGTGAATGATAGAATCTCTCTAGCTTCAGTTGTGCAGCTACCAGGATCGGATATGGTTGAAGTTGGGTCCAAGCGAATTCTATCGAGTCTCAGTCTTCCAGATGGAATCCGGATCCATGCCGGATCCTATTTGTGAAGATCCTAGTAATCTGTGAATCGTATCCGTTTATCGTATATCGTACGGTTAAAAATCATTTTAAATATTTTTATTTAAAATTAAACATAAACAGTACTTAAAAAAAGCTGACCGCACGATGTACGATGAACGGATATGATTCACGAATCCTTCGGATCTTCACCAAAGGATCCGGAAGGGATAATGTTGGTTCCAGATGAGACTTGTAAGACCCAACATGTTAGACTGATGTCCAATTTAACGAGTGTAGTCCCAACATTTATAAGTTCACCGAACAACGGATATGGTAGTGGTTAACCACATATCTCAATTCTTGAACTTCAATTAATCCTTTTTTAATTTTGTTTGCACACTCCCCAAGAGAAAAACAAAATATATGTACGAAGGGTATCCACTTGACACCCTTCGATCACAGGATTTCTTGTTAGAATACTATTTATTTGTCTTGAAAATTAGAAAGCCAGTGAATCAAGGGGTGTGGACTCATTATTGTAGGACTTCTCCAGCACAGTTTCCATACAAACCCGGAAGAAACATTTCTTAATGGCTACCATTTCGGGCGCCCACTGGTTTCAATCACATACATCTCGTCAGTCGTAAAATGTCTCTCATAAAAGTATGGGTATATTGGTTATGCACAATTCCACGTTGATCCCATCCAATTTGAGGGCTATCATAGTATCAAAGATTTGCTCCTTAGCATCAAGGCGATACTATCATGAAATTATCCGTAACACTAGAGTTTTTTATACAAGTGATACTGTGAGAGAAAAACCGAACTTAGGACTTCTAATGCAGTGATAAACTCTCTTAATCAACCGAGCTGGTAACTCCTTGTTACATGAACACTAAGTTAGGAAAGTAGCAAATGAAGGTGCCCAAATCAAAAGGTGGATTTTTGTTTAAACTTAGAAGGATGGTATCCAAGGTTTTTAGCCTTCATATTCCCTGACACAAATTGCATTTGAAGAGACAAAGCACTCCCACGTGAGGTTGTAATATTCTATCATGCTGCCCACTGACCATATATACTGTGCACGTGTGCAGTGTACCCCATCTTTTTTAGGAAAAGGATCCTTTTTGGGATTCTAGAGAATTAATCAATCATATTCGTTCATCGTACATTATGCGGTCAGAAAGTATTTTAAATTTAAAATTGAATATAAATAGTATTTAACGAAAACTGATTGCACTACATACGATAAATAAACATGATTGATTGATCTCTCGAATCCCCACAAAGAGAATCCGAAGAGGATCATTTTCCTCTTTTTTATACATCCACCTGGGAAAAAGAGGTTAATGGGATTCATCACGTCAAGACAGACCTCAAATTTTCGAGATTAAATTTTCTGCACTCATTTTATATATAGCCTAACGTAAACATGAAACGTACACGCTCTGGTTAGGATTTAATTAGTACTCGACACTAACTTGAAACGGTACAAGAACTTAACACGATACAGCTCGATTCTCATCCCTGCGTGCGCTTGTGAAACTCGTTCGTTCCGATTATGTGCAAAGCTGGTTTAGATTAGCAGTGTGACTAACATAATCTTTAAGGAACAGCAGCATACAAAAGGTGACAGACTGGTTGGTGAGGTAAAGTGAAGGAGGGGTTATGATATATAATGCTATACTAGATATGTGTTTACTTGGTGAGGAAACTAGGTACTATTATTTAAATAGGAAAAGTGCATAGGATGCTCTCTAATCCTGCATTGCTGAGAGATGGGGTACCTGCAGCCTCACCACTTCCATAAAAGGACAATTTTGTTTATTTATATTAGTTCACAACTGTGACTGTGACTTGTTGTCACCAAATTGTGTAGACTCAAAGCTCGTTTACAAAAATATTAAATTAAAAAATGGTGAGGCCTTGTTGGATTCTTATTAAATTTTAGTATTCCTGAAAAATGAAATAAATTTGGATTGGAATCAATCATTTTAATAAATATGTATACTTAAAAATATTATGGTTACCAGCTTCATTCTTTTTTGAAAATGATTAGTTGATGACTTCGTTCTGATTGGGAGTCGAAAAGACTTATAGAGAAATGTCAATCACTTGACTATCATCATGTGATTAAATAGCGTCAAGAATTGGACTGCATAAGTGTTGTTTGAACCAAAGACTTGAATTTGTCCCTAATCATTGAGACACCCCGTGATAATTATGATTATGGTTATTAACTTTGATATGAGAAAATAAACTAGTGAAGAGGACGGATCTCTGCACATTATTCATCTTTTTTATGTATACTTACGTTTATTTTTATTTAATTTATTTAGTCTAAATATCATAAATAAATAGAAAAACATAACAAAAAAGAAAAACGAGTGTGAGAATCACTTTGATAGATGAATAGATTTGATGTAGAGTTAGTAACACTGAAGTCTAATGAGAGAGAGGATGGAGAGATGTGCACGTGCAATTGCATGTCTGCCCCCTCGCGGCTCTACTTTTCCAATTTACAAACCGAAACAAAAACCAAGCAACAAAAGAAAAACCCTCCACATTTTGCAGTTTTTTGCTTCATAGGGTATTCAAACCTTGCTTAAATATGTTAACTTTCTTCAGAAATCATTTTCTCTAAGGATTTAATTCTTAATTGGTGTTTGTCCTAATCAATGGTGGAGCTTCACTCTTGTGCTCCTCTGGTAAATTCTTCTGCACTGTGCGCTATAGAGGAAGGAATGAAAGGTGAGAGCGTCAATATCGTTGCAGAGATTTCGGCCGAACTCGAGAGGGAACGGCAGAAGAATACAGAACTCATTGGGAGGATACTAATTCTTGAAGCTCAATTACAAGAACGAGAGAAGGAGGAGCCTCCTCATCGAGCAGACGGACAAGTAAGACCACCATTTTTATTTTTTGGTTGTCTTTTTTTTCAAATAACTGTTAGAGCATTTTAGCGGTGTTTGAGACTGCTTCTAAAATGGCTAAAAGCGCTTTCTGACAACTAAAAATGCTTCTAATGAGTAAAGCAAATGTTAATGCCACACTCAATATTTGGATTCAGGACCGTTCTTCCAATGCAATGACAAGACGCTTAAAGAAGTTCAAGCGACAGAAGACAGCACTCGACAACAATGGAATCGAAGATGGAAATGTTATCCCAACCGTAATGGCTTCGGAGAAGAAACACCACAAGCAATGCTTGGCCCTTACAGATCGAATTCCGGAAGACCGTCTAGTCAAGTGGATGAGCATGGAGGAAACTCAGTTTTTGCATTCAGAAAAAGTTAAAGATGGCGGAGATTCAGCAGACTGCGGTGTCAGTGATGATAGCGATGACGAAGATGATGGTTACCGGGAAGAAGATTGTGTTAATAATGTCTGTAAAGAAGGGGAAGTTGCTGATGATGTTTCAAGAATTGTTAGTGAACCGAAATGTGAAGTTGTTGATAAGGGATTGGATGCGCAATGTGAAATAGTTTTTGCAGGTGGGAACGAGCCAGTGATTCCAAATGCGAACCAAGAAACGAATGAAACACCCGATACAGGACCAGTTTGTGATGAGATGCAACTTCAAACCGGAAACAATAAAGAACCTAGTGATTTTGGAAGTGACAAGGTGCCATCTGATACCCTTAATTTCTCAGAGTTTTTCCGTGCAGGATCAGCAAGCACATCGCAACAGAAAAAACCTCCGAAGGTAGCATTCTGCCCGAAAGAAGTGAAGAGAATAATTGATTCAGAAGCCCTGCTGCTGAAAAATGCTCAATCCCACACAATGAGGAAGATCATAGTTTTCGCATCACTCGGAATAAGGCACGGCTGTGAAGATATATACGAGTTAGACTTCAATCATTTCAGCATTTTAAGGAAGGGAGAACCATTTGTGTCTTCGAAAGATCCCGGGGTAAGGAAATTTAGCGTTACGCTTGCTCTAGTTCTTGTCATTGCACAATTAGTCTTTCAATTCCCTTTCATTGTGACATTTAACATTAATGATTTCTGTGACATGTTTTTTTATCTTAATTTAATACTAGGAGCATGTTCTGTATGAGAATCCTGGTGTTCGGAGGAAAGTATTTTACGCGAACCAACAGAACCCGACATTATGTCCTGTTAAAATACTCGAAGAAGAGAATGCTATGCGACCATCGGATTCTAGCTGCCCATCATGGCTATTTCTCTGCATAAAGTATGGCGGAAGAACACGAAATCTTCCCCAAAATGAGTAAGTATTATTGGAGTCATTAACTTTTAACTCAGCGAGGATTTCTGTTTTGCAGCTTAACATAAAATTTTATCTGCATAAATATGTTTCAGATATGTCAGGCAGCGTATGGGAAGAAACAAGCTGAAGTCTTTCGGGCCACTAATGTGTCGAATGGCAATGCTCATCCATGTTCGCAGTGGGAGCTTCTTCTTCAAGACCTTGGGCATCACTCTTCTTTTCATGGCTGGTTTTCCTGATGATCTGGTTCAACGAGAAACTAAATACCGGAACCTTGACTTGCTTCAGAAGTATTATAGGTATTTCATTCTAAGATACTACTAGGAAATGAATGTTTATGGAAAAGCTATTCGGATAATTTTGTATCTTCAAAAATTAGTGAATTCTAAAGCAAGACGTGTTTTTCCTTGTAGGACGGATGAGGATGCTGAAGGGGAGGAATTATTTCTTCCACATCCTATGACTAGTGATACTGTAAGATCAACTTCCCAGTTCATATATCTGAGCACTTCCTAGTTTCGACTTAACGTTGACAAATATATTCGAGTTTCTGAAGACTGATGTTGTTTTCTTTCAGCAGGCTAGTCCAAGTTCTCAGCAGTTCTGTGGCAAGTCTGGTTCAACAAAAACAAAGGCGAAAAAACAAACTCACCCAAATAGCAAGCCTCACAACATACAGAGATCTTCATTCCCACAGACTGCACTTTTGAGTTCTGCACCTCCTACACAATTTGGAGGTCATCAGACCTCTATTCTTCACGCTCAAGCAATGGCAACATTCCCGTCTCAGACGCCATTAGATGCTCAACCAATCTCAAACTGTGCAATCGCGAATGCTGGTACGAGTATCTCCTACTCTGGTCAAACCCCGTATCACATTTTTACACCACAACCAGCAAACACCTTTATGCCTATGGTATATTGGCCTCCCCCGAACACATTTTCTCCGGGACCTTATCAATCTACATATGGGTACCAATCTTTCCCTTCTACCGGAAACTACTTCGTCCATCCACAGCCCTATTACAACCATCCGGCTTGCAGTCCATTGATCCCTAAAATGGTGGAAGCAGCAGGAAAAAATGGCGTGGCCTCGGCGGAAGCTGATAGTGGCTACGATTGCAGTTCAAGCAGTATTGAACCAAAGAAGAATTAGCATATCTGTCTTCCCTGTAAATTACCATAACTTGAGTTATCTTATTCTTAATAAAAGACATATGCAAAGTGATGCATTTTTGGTCCTCTTCTTCACATCATCCGCTACGTATATTTCAAAATTTGTGACGTTCCATTTAACTTCTGCTAAGTTCACAGTGGAGATATAGTACCTACCATATACAGCACACTTTACTTTAGTCATTGCATCTGCAGTGCCTTTTGCTTCGGGGTAAGGTAGAGGCTTTGTTCAGTTCCTCTATCTTGTCCTTAATACAAGAAAATGAGCCACATTTTCGGATTTCATGACAGATCTCGTCGTCATTTTAACTCAGGAACAACCAAGCACCAATATCTTTTGCAGGGCAGGCTTACGAACTTCTAAGCAATCCACCACGAACCAAAGATATATGATTCCCCAAGTAACATCAAGATTTTCACCATCCTTTTTCGGGGCAATGCCGTCACAGCCAGATTTCTCTCTCTTTTACTTGGAAAATCACCCATTTCGGAAAATATTCAAATATGCATGAATTAATCACACAATTACATGTCAATTCATAAGCTAATTTGAAAAAGTAGGGATCTTCATTAGCATTAAAGTTCAGTACATAACACTAACATAACCAATTCGAAATTCATAACATTTTGCTAGCAGAGCTAAGCTTGATTTGGGTTGTACTAATACCAATTAATTACTACCATTTCATATATCTAAACTTGTTCACCAAGCAAATTAGTCCCATTTCAGCAACTCTGCCCCAACGGAACTCGATTTCCGGGCTCAAACCAAGTACGTCTGCGAAGGATCAATCTTCTCCTTGGAAACACAGCACACAAAATCAGAAACCTCCTCAAAACCGTAAGACAACACCAAAGGTCCTTTCATAACCACGAAGCCCTCGGGCCCTATCGCAACCTGGTAGCCCTCCTTCGTCAGCTGACTCACAGAAATCAAATTCCGCTTCAAACCCGGCACGTGCATCACATTGTGCAGCACCCACCGAGCCCCACTCGGTAACTTGACGCGCACGTCACCTCTCCCAACAATATCCAATGCCGCATTGTTTGCCAGGTACGCTTTGTCATAGTTGCCGGCGGTGTACTTCTCCATGATCCCCTGGTGCGGCGAGCAGTGGAAGGCGGCGCCGGGGGTGGTGATCCACGACTCCAGCGGGGTATCGACGGTCAAAAACAGAGCTTCGTTGATCACTTCGATGGTGTTGGCGGCCCCAACTGTTTGCTTCTTGAGCCTGCAATTCTGGCTGACGTGTCCACATTTGCCGCAGTGCAGGCAAGTGTCCGCCCATTTTCCGAGACCCGAATCCATTGCAGAAGTCCTTGATATTCTCTCTCGCGAAGAAGAAACCCTAACTGCTATTTGATCGGGGCATTTGTCGTTCCCAATTCCAAATGGTTCGATTTATATGAGTGAACATGTCCATTTGACAATTTTTTCCGCCAACATATTTTTTTTGGCTTATATACGCCCCATGAAATTCAATTTGAGTCTTAGTTAATCCCTTGAAGCTCGAAATGTGTTGCTTATTCTCTTTTAAGTGCTTAACTTCATTTACATCTCTTGAATTTAATTGAGTTTCACTTAACTCTTTTAAAGTTAAATACTTTATTGAAGTCCACACCTTCTCTCTGACTATAAACCTTTGCAACCAAGCGTGCGAGAAATTATTGATTCAAAGGCTACGCTCTTGAAGGCCTTTGAAACTATCTCAAATCGGGTTCCCACGGCTGGCATACCCATTCGTACCATCTGAACAGCTCCCTTGCCTTAATTCTGCGAAACTCGAATTATGTCTCATATTTTCATTCCCCGTTCAAAGTCTGTTAGCAAATTTGTTAAAGCTGATGATGTGGAATAAATGGGACACAGTTTTCTCATTTTAACGTCTTCATTAATATAGAAGTAGGTTAAATAAGTTAACCATAACAGTGTGACCCTCCTCATATACCCAAATTTGATTCCCTCTTCAAAATTCTTTCTCATGCATCCGGAGTAGGCTTATTGGACGTGAGCATTCACGAATTGGCACCGAAATTCAAACTCAAGTCAAAAGGGCCTTATTAGGGCACGACGGGTGCCCATTTCACAATCTTTTCTTTAGTTTAATGTCTTCATTAGCTAGGTATACAATTAACATGAACCTTGTCTCTATTGGCTAAATATGCGACAAGGAATATCAATTGCGGATGAGCAATAGTGCACAAGATAATAATGTATTATATGTGAAAGAGAGAAATTTATGTAAATTGCTTAATTACAATAATTCTTACACAACTTGTGAGACTTACGTAGAGTCGAGTGAGATCAAAATACATGAGAGTCTCATACTTCTGTAAAAAGTGCTTGATTATAAATGACGTTGTCCGTGGACTCAACATCGATCAATATACCCAAGTTGTTTCACATCTAAGAACAAGAGATTTTTCAATGTGTTTGAAATAGGGGCGGCACATCATATGTTATTATACAAGTGGTGGAAAGTTTTTTCTTTAGGTGTCACTTTACTTGTATAATGACATATCACGTATGTGTACGTATTTCAGACATACTGAAAAATCTCTCTTCAAGAATTGTCAAACGTGTAACAATCTGTCTCTAGGATTCACATCTAAAGACATTAGGATTAGATCCAATGCCATCTGTTGCCATATGAGCCTTTCATATGCTTTCTTTCCTTTTCTATCATTGCTTGTCTTGGCATTTTCTACTTATTTAAAATCAATAATGCAAAGCTTGTGGAACCATCCTCTAATAGTTTAATTAATCATTGATTCTGAATTCCCCTTCTTTATACCATCTACCCAACAACCGATATTTAATTAGTCCTCTTATCACTTATCTCCTTTATTTGAGACTCTGAATCTTATCCGTGAAGAGAAATACTATCATACCGTAATACTGAGTAGCAATGATATTATTACTTTAAACCATATTAAAGAGAGAGTTTAAATCCAATAGATAACGAATTATATGCTACCATCAGAACAATCCACCAGGTCATATTAGTCAAGCATAACCATACACGAGGCCGCGGGATGGGTTTTGATTATGTAATTAGTTTCACAACATCATCATGATGTGCAAACGGTGCTTAATTTGCAAGCATGAATCATCAATAATCATTGAAATTCATGCATCATAATACATGTTCAAAGTTCAAACCATCCATAAATACATACACACATCCCGACATCCATCCACCATGTCCATCTGACCCCAAGAGAAGAAGCCAACAGATACAACGAAACCCTACATCAGAAGCAGTGCATCACGAACAAGGGCAAACATGAACAACAAACCACATGCCCTTTAACCCTAGCACTGACCAACTTCCATAAAAACAAAACATACATCTGGGTAAAAAAACCCATCTTATTATCCAGCAACTTGTCGCACACATTTTCTCCATTAGTTGCATAACTTAAGAAGATAAGTGCTTCTTGGAAGAGTTGCTTTTTTCTAGTCGCGGATCTTGTTGGCAACATTGCACTGCTGTCGGATCTCGCCCTTGTTACCAGTGAGAGGGTTATTCTCGGAGAGAATGGTGAAGGCTCTCGAAAACTCCTTGAAGAAGTAGTCTTGGCTCTTGGCCATTTTCTTGACGTAGGGTTTTGTCCTCTTGTCCGTGGCTAGCTGGTGGTCCACCATCATCAAACCCTTGTTGTCCAAGATGTTTCTGTAGTAGTTATTATCGAAGATCATGGGGGTACCACGGTCATTTCTCACGTACTGAACGGCTTTGGGGTCGGGGATAGCATCAGGGCACTTCTTGAGCATGTGAGGGACATGATCAGGGTTGAGCTGAGGGTCAACCTCTGGGTACAACCGGTGCACCAGCTTCACACAGTGTGTTCTTCCAACGCTGTGAGCTCCTGTAATTGGTTACAATAAATAAGACCAAATATTTAAGTGTTTCTAATAATGTTTTATATAAAAAATTACTAGAGAACAAAAAACAATTATAACCATGTTTCTCTAAAAAAATTCGTTTGGATCATAGAAGCACTTATAGCACAAGCGATTTCTAAAGAAGCACTCTCAAACGAGGCCTAAAAATGCTTTTGGGTTGAAATAACACTTAAAAGTGTTTCCTTAAGAACGATTTTTCTCAAAAAGCACTTCGATTTTTATTTTAACATTTGAAAGCGCTTCTAGTAAAAGCTTTTCTAGAGCATATATACCTAGAAGGGCGACCACACCGGGGGTGTCAATGCCCATGTCAGCAAACTTCTCAAGGACAACGGACATGCTCTCATTGTGGTCAGGAAGGTATTGCTCAAGGATCTCAGCTCTGCTTCTCCTTCCATCTCTTCTTCCAGTTTTAAGAGGAATGAATGGGCCTCCTAGCTGAGAACACGGTAATTAAGTCAAAAATATGGTTTAGTTAAATATTTACTTCAACAGTTTAGCAAAACAACATAGAAAAGGTAAGAAAGTAAATAGATCTGAGTACTAATTCTTCGCAATTTTGACCTTTATATTAAAAAGGTAAATTACTAAATTAGATTTGAGAAAAAAAATTAACCAACTTCAGATCTCTGATTTTACAGAACATAGTTGTGAACCAAAAGTGGATAAAAGCAGAAAGTCAAAGCAAGAGAAATTAGGTATAGAGAAAATATACCCTAACAACACCCTCTCTGGCAGACAATACAAGAATATCTGAGCAGGAAACAACACCAGGGCACTCCCTCTCCAAAGCTTCTTTAATCTCTTCAATGTACCTAAAGTTTCTCATCCCGAAGCTCCTGTCCATCTCCTTCTCAGACAACGATCTCCTTGTTGAGTCCAGCAGCAGAGATGCATCACATGACTGCATAAAGAAAACACTTGGTTAATAATTTCACTAGTAGAAACACCTAGCAAATTACGGGAGTTATTGTGGCGGCATCTCAAGAGGGGCTAAAAGTTCTTTCAAGTGCTTTTTCCAAGAAGTACTTGGATTTTCTGAGAAAAATTAGGACATGTTTACAATAAAAGCACTTCTAGCATAAGCACTTTTAAGCTAAACATTGCCTACAGAAAGAGTCTCAAACGAGTCTTAAAACACCTAACAGTGTGTTAGTACGAGGCTTGACATACACGACAGAGTCATTTACGGTGTAGATAAGTTTCTCCGGCAGATAATTACGAAAAAAAGTGACTCATATGAATGAATATATACCTGGACAGCACAGTCATGAAAGATGTTTCTGAGCCAAGAGAAGGCGGTGTTCTTGTGGCGCTTGTAGAGAAGCTTCACTTGTTCTCTGATGACCTCTTCAGCCTGAGGACACGTGTCCCTGTAGAAGTCCATGACAAGACCTGGATCCTGCTCATTGCTCTCAGCAAAGCAAGAAACTGCTGAGAGAGAAAGCAAAGCAAAGAAGAACAAGAGAGTTCTGGAAGAAGAAGAAGAAGAAGCCATGGTTTTCTGCTTCTGCTTATGCTGGTGGTGATATCAGTAAAGTTCACTGAGCTGAGAGGCTCTTTAAATAAAAGGAGAGATGGACAAACTGGTATTAACATATGCGACACTTGTTGCTATTTGGGGCAATTGCATGTGGTGCTTTTGACCACCTCTTGTCTTCACTGCTGTAATTAACTACCAGACTTGAGCTTTAATGCTCTCAATTTGTGCTCAAATTTGTCACTTTGTAATCAGAAATTTTACGATGCACCGACTGAACTGGATGCTTTTTTAACAAACAAAAGTACTTAAACTATAGGTTCTTTAAGATCATCTTTAAAGTGGATGTCAAAATATCCACATAAACTATAACAGTAATAAAAGACTATACTAATATTCTTTAACAGAAATGTCAATTCTTATATGGCGCTAACATGGATTGAGAGCAAAGATTGCTGTCAAATTTGACAGCAACTTCAAATATTTTTTTTTATTATTTTTTTATGGGAAACGCTGAAACCGAAGGCAAACGAAGGTCTCCGGATCTTACAGTCCAGATTCTTACGGATCAACCAGAAAAGCAGCAGCCCCACTGCAAACTACTCGTTATTTTTTTTGGTGAGGCTTTAAAAGAACCACTAGAATGTAACACTAATAAGAAACGTTAGATTTTAAAAGGCGTTAGCAAGTAGGTGCATAGAGCTAGGAGTCTAGGCATGGGCTAGGCGTTTTTAAAATTTTTAATTAAATTTATTATATAATATAAATATTGTCCATTTATATTTAAAACATACATATTATTAAAAATATATATATATATATATATATATTGTAATATAAAATGAGTGATCATTTAAGTATTTAACAAGTTTGACAATTTATTAAAAAAATAAAATACAAAATAAATTTTATCTATTTTATGCCTAATTGGATGTCTAGTCAAGTTTAATTGTTATTTCTTAATTTTCAAAGATATAAAGGTTAATCAAAGCGGGTCTAAATGAGAATTTTTAAAGCAATCATAACACAAAGTTAATAATATAAAAATTGCGTGACACCTAAGTCAAGCAAAGCTTATACGGTCCCTGACAGTGACAAGGCTACCGACACTCTCACCCGCAATGAACATTACTCGTGTCTGTAATAATACATTCCCTAAAGATGGGTTGGCGGAGCCCCGAGAGTAATGACAGTGTCTCACAGATTAATTATCTTCTTAAACTAATTAAGTATGGATCTCGAGCTGTTAAAGATGATTAAGATGATTAATCACATGTTTATTAATTAATAAGATAAAGAATCCTAATTCCATGACTTTATGACCAAATATCTCGAGATCTACATGGAGCATTGATTATCAGATTCCCCGCAGACGAAAAAAAAAAATATTATCCGTCTCATCTGTATATTTTATAGAAAAATGTTAAGAAAATTATTCAAAAATAGGACTCTCGAATTTTTTACTGTTTTATGTTTTTGACACAATTTATATGCCAATATTACAAAGTATTATGTTAAAAACATGAAGCAACAAAAAGTCATACTTTGAAAAAGTCTACTTAGCATTTCTCTATTTCATATCATATATGAATGAATTGTGTACGAAATCCACAAATCAAGTCACGTTGAGTGAGAGTTTTTCAATATTTCATGAACACGGTTTAGTACACCAAATGCAATAATACGATTGGTTGCACATAATTTTTTTTTTAACTAATTATATTATAACACTTGATCTGTTTGACCGTTTTCTTGATATGTTGGAAATGTACTCATTTCTTGTATGCGGGAGTATAATGCTTATAATTGGACACTCTATCTTTGACGTTATTCAATTAAAAAATGTTAAAATCAGTCGCAGATGGCAACATGCGTGCTATATGACCGCAGATTAAATGGAATCTACAAGCAACGTATCTAGATTATAGAATGCATCATCTTTTTTTTGTTTTTTTAATTAAATCCCATTGCTGAATTTCCTCATTCCAAAACATATTTTTATTGACTGTTTCAAGTCCTACAAAATGTTGCCCTACGTTGACAATTTGACAACTATAGGTGAGCTTCCTTAATACACAAGTCCGCTGGATTTCCAATTTTATGTCCAATCTGTATTTAGAAACTAGAAGAGGGAACCGCATGACATTGTGATGGCCACCCGGCTTAAGACGCTATTAAACAGTGGTACTGTTTTATGTCTTGAGCTAGACAATCATGCGATCATGTCATTCGGTCCTATAAATTTTACGGAATGACCACGCGGCCGTTCGGTTGAAGACAGTATTCATGGGGTGAGAAGACCAAAAGCAAGCGGTGAGAGTGTCTTTTTGGTCGGATGATCACGTAATTCTGTTATCTGAATGTTCAAAATTCTGTATCGGATGAAGTTTAAATACAATGAAATACAAATGCAATTCAATTTTTCATTGAAAAAATTTTATATAGTTCAATCATCAGAAACAAATAGAAAAATTCAAAACAAAACTCGGATATTATCAAGCAGGCCAAAAATGTGGATCTTGAAGTGAATGCCCTAACAGTGGTGACCCAGCTACCCTCACTTGTTGGAATGAGACCGAGACAGACCCGATCAGCCACTCCCTGTGAGAAGACAATCATGTTATAGCAACCACGTCGGAACCTTGTCTTTGACAAAGTGCCTAACTTGCATAGTATAATACATAAAGTGAATGCACAAGTTGAATGATATTTTGTATCCAGTTATCTCCTTCAAGAACAATGCATCGATCACCAACTGAATTCGCTTGAACATTTTGTCACAATCATAAACTAGTTTTGCGTTGGCCCTGGTCAACCAACATCATCGCTTAGAAACAGCATACATGAAGGCAACTTGAAGGGGGAAAAACAACATCAGCAGCAATAGACTGACAATTTCTATGTCCTATATACTTTAAGATTTGACAAATCTTGAAGAAATTTGCAACTGGGGGGCCAAGAAACAGACTCTGTATATTCTATTCACGAGTGAGATGTACCTGACAAGAAATGGCAGAACAAAATTTCCAATATCAGCAAACAAATCTACAACAATCTCATGTCTGCAATTCAGGGAGGCCATGCGGAGCTTCTCAGAATGGTTTCCCCAGGAGAACATACATTATCTCCTACAAGAATCTCCTAAGTATGTCCCTTGTAGCTGTTGATGCAACTTGGCCCCGTTGAAATAGATTCAAGTCTTGAACATATACAACTGATAGTCGCATGAACAATGCATCGATCAAATAACCACTCATGAACATGAGTAAATCAAATAACTACTAAACAACCTTCTAAGGGTTTATGTACATCACTTACTCGGCGTGCAAGGGGATGAGCGTTAAGTGATTTGGAAATAACATGCCAAAGCTCCATCCCTAGTGAGTCTCGTATTGGATCATTGAACGATGGTGCCGGAAGGACAACTATATCTCCAAGACGCTCCAATCTAAAAAAGACAAGTACATTCAATATCATACATGGTCATTGAATCTACTAACGAGCAAATTATAGGGCATCCCTCATCTATAGGTTTTAATTGAAAATGTGATAGGTAACAAATCTTCTATAATAGGCTTAGTTTAAAAAGAAATGTGTTTACATGCTTGCACAAGAGCAAAAACACAAACACAAACCTTGCTGTTAGCTTCTCTAAGAGTTATGCAGGCAGTTCTTTCTCCTTTATCAGCAAGCCCGCAACTTCATTGATTACTTTCGAGGGAGATTTGGCAGCTCTCTTGACTTCAACTGCCAGCTTAGTGGCACCAAATTCCTTTACAATGTCCAAGGCTTTTGAATAGTTCACCTCAGTAAACGAGAATTCTTCTCATATAACTGGTTTAACAAAGTGATCAGTCTGTCCTTCAGATAAATCTGTCAATGGACACTTGTTTTCTTTAAACACACTTGAAAAATTTTCGTTCACAGGAAAACAAAAATGTGAGCCGCCTTTCCTGGAGTACACCTTCCTTTCAAGATCTAACCATCCAAACTTCTTCAATGGTGATTTGGAAGAGGACATATATATATATATATATGCAACAGCCTCCAGGCTTTGTAGAAAAGGGGAAGGAAGACCTAGTTTGCAAGCTAAGTAAATCAATATATGGTCCAAAGCAAGCATCGAGGCAATGGTTTATGAAGTTTGATCAAAAGGTAACTGACATTGGTTTCATTGAGAATAAAGTTGATGACTGCATCTATTTTAAGAATGTTGGTTCGAAATTTATTTTTTTAATATATATGTGGATGACATACTCCTTGCAAGCAATGATTTAAATTTGTGGCTGGAAACCAAATTATTGTTATCATGAACCTTTGACATGAAAGACTTAGCGGATGCCTCCTTTGTACTTGGCATTGAGGCCATCAAGGACAGATTAAGAAATTTGTTGGGAATTTCACAAAGGTCATACATTGAAAAGGTGTTAAAAATCTTAAATATGGAGTGTTGTTCAGGTGGTGAAGTCCCAATGAGCAAAGGTGGTAAGCTAAACAAGACTCAGTGCCCTAGAAATGGGTTGGAGATGCAAAGCAAGCTGAGTAAACCCTATATATCGTTGGTGGGAAACTTGATGCATGCCCAAGTATGCACGAGACCAGACTTCTCCTTTTCTATTAGTATGCTTGGCAGGTTTCAATCAAACACATGAGAGCAAAATTGGGCGACTGCCAAGAGGGATGAGATACTTATATAGAACAAAATCCTACATGCTCACGTACAGGAAGTCTGAAGAACTGGAGGTTATAGGGTGTTCAAACTTGGATTTTGCAGGGTGTGTTGATGATAGGATGTCCACGAGTACATTGTTGTTTTTTAGGCTACACAAAAGGCATTATGGAACAAAGATTTGGTCACTCTTATGGGAATTGTAGACAGCATCTCAAGGCCTATAGTCATTTATTGTGATAACAAGACTGCGGTGTTCATCCCTACAAACAAGAAGCAATCTTCTGCCAATCGTTTGATGGACATCAGGTATCGTTCTGTAAAAGAAGATGTAAAGAAAGGGCTGGTGGTGATTGAACATGTTGATACCATTCCATGATTGCAGACCACTTACAAAGCCATTGCCGGTTGCAGATGGGAGTTCTAGAATCATCCGATTCAGCATTGTTGTGGCCCCTGTGGGAGTAAAGTTAAATTTATTCTTTGTTTACTTTATGGCTATTTTCCGCAAAATAGACGTGAGAAACTTGTTAAAGGGGTTCTTTAACATTAATCATTTAAGAATATTGAAATTTAAAATAAACTTGGTGTTAGATTACATATTGTGTGACATCCCACATCGCCCAGGGGAGTGATCCTTAAATGTATATTCTCATCCCTACCTAGCACGAGGCCTTTTGGGAGCTCACTGGCTTCGGGTTCCATAGGAACTCCGAAGTTAAGCGAGAAGAGGGCTAGAGCACTCCCAGGATGGGTGACCCTCTAGGAAGTTGCTCGTGAGTTCCCAAAAACAAAACCGTGAGGGAATGGTAAGCCCAAAGCGGACAATATCGTGCTACGGTGGTGGAGCGGGTTCGGGAAGTGATCCGCCCCGAGCTTGGATGTGACAAATTGGTATCAGAGCCTATCCCTGGCCGGAAATGTGCCGACGAGGACGTCGGGCCCCTAAGGGGGGTGGATTGTGACATCCCACATCGCCCAGGGGAGTGATCCTTAAATGTATATTCCCATCCCTACCTAGCACGAGGCCTTTTGGGAGCTCACTGGCTTCGGGTTCCATAGGAACTCCGAAGTTAAGCGAGAAGAGGGCTAGAGCACTCCCAGGATGGGTGACCCTCTGGGAAGTTGCTCGTGAGTTCCCAAAAACAAAACCGTGAGGGAATGGTAAGCCCAAAGCGGACAATATCGTGCTAAGGTGGTGGAGCGGGCCCGGGAAGTGGTCTCACCCGGGCCGGGATGTGAGAACTTCCCGGGCCGGGATGTGACAAATTGGTATTAGAGCATAACCCTGGCCTCGTGTGTGCCAACGAGGACGTCGGGCCCCTAAGGGGGGTGGATTGTGACATCCCACATCGCCCAGGGGAGCAATCCTTAAATGTATATTCCCATCCTTACCTAGCACGAGGCCTTTTGGGAGCTCACTGGCTTTGGGTTCCGTAGGAACTCCAAAGTTAAGCGAGTAGAGGGCTAGAGCACTCCCAAGATGGGTGATCCACTGGGAAGTTGCTCGTGAGTTCCCAAAAACAAAACCGTGAGGGAATGGTAAGCCCAAAGCGGACAATATCGTGCTACGGTGGTGGAGCGGGCCCGGGAAGTGGTCTCGCCCGGGCCGGGATGTGACATATTGATTTTAATTTTTTGGTGTCCTTGATTCAAAATTATTTTTGTGCATTTTATTTAGAGAACTATTATTAGCACTCCAAAAATATCATTTTACACTCTTCATAAGTGTATTTTTCTTTCTAATTATAAAAAGTTTGGAGTGCCAAATGAGATTTTTGGACTGTTAATATCAATTCTCTTTATTTAATGTCTCTAATTAAATATTTAAATTTATTAATATACAAATTTTAATCTATTTTTTGACCAAAAAAAAGTTTTTTAATCTTTTACTTTTATTTAATATTCTTCAAACTTGAAAGATTCAATTAATGTACGTTAATATCAAAATGTATTATATTGAACTAATATATTTAAATGTTAGTACCAAAATATATGCACCGAAATGTATTATATTAAATTAATATACTGAAATGTTAGTACCGAAATGTATTATATTAAATTAATGTACCCAAAAGTTTGTATCGAAATGTATATACCGAAATGTGTGTACTTAAATATATGCACCAAAATGTATTATAATAAATTTAATGTACCTAAATGGAAAAGATAAAGTACATTGAAATATATTGTATAACAAAAATTAGTTTATCTAAATGTTTACAACAAAATATATTACGATAAATGAAATGAAAATGAAAATTATAATCAAATAAAATTAATACATTAAAAATTAGGAAGAAAAAAGAGAAATAATTAATAAATCAAAATATAATTAATAAATGAGGTTATTAATGTATCAAGCAAGTAAAATTAGATTTTGATCATACTCATGGTTTTAATCTAAGAATCATCTTTGCCAAAGATTAAAATGAAGTTTCCTACTTGTTAAATCTGGATTGCATGTGTTGATTTAACATGAATTGTTGGTATTGACGGGTGAATTTCGCTGTTAGGATTTTATACATTGTATTTCCCTGTCCCGCTTTTCACTTGTTTAAAAACTTCAGGAGTCTGGATGTTCAACTTGCACGGCAGCTGATGACGCTTCATCCAAGTATATTCATTGTTGATTCATGCGGTCACTAAGGAATTGATTTTGATTAAGACGTTACTCATACAAGGACGATCACTAAGGAATTGATTTTGAGTCAGCGATTACACGATATCCCTTGAAAGGGGGACGATAAGGTTGAGATGCCAGTGAAGTGGATAGCCCACACGTTGGTTCCCATTGAGTAGAAGATTCTTCCTTTCTCATCTTGCCATGGCTTCATCAGATTTGGTTTTCGTTCCCAGTAAAACACATCAGGTTGTAATCCATGTGCTGCTAACCCCTAAGGGCGCCGGACTATTTCGAACTGGATTAGCTTCAAGGACTAAGCTGGACTGGCTTAGACTAGACTAAACTGGACTAACTTAGTGAAGTGTTTGGTGCAGTATTGGATTAAGAAGCTGGATAATAACAAATTCTAATATTATATTATTTAATATATAAATTATTAATATTTTATTATATCTTATCTTTTTCTTCATCTTTTCCTACCATTTCCGTCCCACTCTTTTCCTCTTCTCTCAATGTCCCACCCTCTCCCTCTTTTTTTCCTCTTAGACCTCTCAATTCATGTCTCTTTCTCATTCCTGGTCAAACTCCTTATTGATTCCAGTCTCTATTTCTCTGTCATCCCTCCCTCTCTAGCTATGCGTTGTTCGAATGGAACCTCACGGCTCCAATTTTTCCGACGAGTTGCAGGTTTCCCGATGTGTTTTCCAGCCAACCCTTGTTAAATTGGATGAAGTTAGCATCGCCAAAAAATTCATCACCATCCTTAGACCGAGATCTTAGCTTTGAATGCTCGAATCTGTCATGCATTTGAAGAAACCCAAACAGGCCGAGACTTCCAGGCCATTTTTCGGCCACATTTGACCACATTTTGGCCTCGATTCAAGTAAAATCGTAATCTTGTCACTCTCAGCTTCAATTTGGTATATTTTATATGAAAGTTGGTTGTGAAATGGATCTGAAAGAGAGTCGGAAAGTTAATGATTGATCTAGGTGACCGGAGATGACGAGGAGTTTGTCGGGAGTGATCGTTGAGCATGACGGGGATGAGAAAGAGAGGATAGTCTTAGCTAGTCTCATGGTTATTGGGGGGTCTCGCTAAGACCTCTTAGTGAAGGGTTTTGTCCATGCTAGTCCCCTTTAGTCTCATTAATGTTAGTCCCAGCATGGAACAAACACAGTATTGGACTAATAGCTAGTCCAGTCCAGTTCAATCCAACCTAGTGAGGACAAACAAACGCCCTCTAAAGTTCCAGCAGATTTGGTTTTTTTCGGCTCATCCAAACTCAAAGATCAACAAACGGAAATTTGGAATGTGCTTATGCCCCAACTCCAACGTAACTTGTTAAGGCTCTGCAACAAGTTTGAATCATATATTATGTAGCTTGATTTTAGACAGACAGCAAAAGTTGTTAAGCTTGATAATAACGAAGCTTTTCAAATTGAAGCATCTGTATTTTACATAGATGCTGATTTTCGGCTTGAAAATAACACAGCTTTCAAACAGAAGCACTGTACCATAATCTTTTATGGTTTTTCAATGTGATCGATACACAGAATGGTATATTACGTGTCATTAAATAAATGATGAGATATATATATTAAAAAGTTAATAACTGAAAAAATAAAAAATTTCATCATTCTTGTTAAAACATGTAGTGTATCATTTGTATTCCCGTTACAGTTAAAAATTTATCATGATTTAGTCCGTGAGACCACCCATGTGACTACTCCTCTTCCCCGTGTAGTCACTCTTCCCTTCAGCTGTCACTCAGCTATGTCACAATCACAGTCTAAAAACACTCCATCTCTCCACCACATATTCTCTCTCTCTCTCTCTCTCTCTCTCTCTTTGCTTTCCCTTTCCGTACTTTCTTTCCATTAAATGAAAGGGGAGATGGACAAATGGTATTAAAATATGCATACTTGTTCTTGACCATTTTCCTCCCTTGTATTCACTGCAGCATTCACTGCTCTAATTAAACATTTACGAAAAAATTTTCATTGTTCTTGGAATATGATAATACATGATATGTTTTTATAAAAGTAGTAGAAAATTTCATTAAGTTATTAATTTATATCTCATCTTTATATAATAACACGTAATATATTATTTTATATACTGATTTGAAAAATCTCTCCCACTTTACATGTGATGCTTTTGACCAGCTTCAGCCTTGTATTCACTGCTCTAATTAACCACCAGACTCGAACTTTAATGCTCTCATTTTAAAAGGAGAGAAGCTCAGTAAAGTTCACCGAGCTCTCTGAGAGGCTGATAATCAATGCTCCATGATCTCGAGATATTTGGTCATAAAGTCATGGAATTAGGTTTCTTTATTTTATTGATTAATAAACATGTGATTAATTTTCTTTAATCATCTTTAACAGCTCCACCGACCCATCTTTAGGGCATGTACTATTACAGGCACGAGTACTGTTCATTGCGAGTCAGAGTGTCGGTAGCCTGTCACTGTTAGGGGGAAAGACATTTAGGGACCATATAAGCTTTTGCTTGAGTTAGGTGTCACGTAATTTTTATATTATTCTCTTTGTATCATGATTGCTCTAAAAATTCTTGTCTGGACATGTTCTGATTAATTTTTATTTTTAAAAATTAAGAAACGACAAGACTTAATTAGACGTCCACTTAAGCATAAAATAGATAAACTTTATTTTGTATTTTATTTTTTTCAATAAATTGTCAAACTTGTTAAATACTTAGATGATTACTTATTTTATTTTACAATCTATATATTCCAATACAATTATGTATTTTTTAAGTATAAGTAGACAATATTTATGTTGTACAATAAATTTAATAGAAAACTATATATTAATACTAAAATAAGACAGAAGTTTAGAAAAATATTTTATATAAGGTTAAAATTTGATTTTAATTTCTAAACTCTATTTAATAGCAGCATATTAAATTTTGTGAAAATACTATAAATTTCAATTCTCATTATGATAAGCATCTTATATAAGAAATTTGACAGAACACTGACAAATTGGATCATTATTCCAATAGTCCTCCAAGTTGGCTTTATTTGCCAATTTTACCGAACCTTCCAATATGTTGCAAACAACATATCCAGTAGCTTATCCTTTATTCAGATCCTAGTGAGGATTATCCAGCAGGTATTTCAACGGCCTAAAAACAAAACAAACTAAAATATATTAATTTTGCTTGCAATTAAAGCCTACAAAAACAACCAAAAATATACATAAACCACATAAGCTCACAATGTGTCAGGAGTTCATCAAGACAAACTGGGAAGTTCCATCGAACATTTCAGTTAATTTTAACTTTCCTATGAACCCTAATCATACTTTTACATTCTAAATATTTTATGTGTATTCTCTCTCCCTGCAATTCGATGTATCACCAGTTTTACCTCCACCGAGCTATTTTTTAATTCTATTGAAGCACATGTGCACACAACCTTTAGTCACACTATCTTCAATGGCAGACTTCATGGCAAGACAATGTCCATCTGTCCACTATGTGATAATTTTCTTAGCATACAATTTTTTGTTCAAAGTATAGTGAGCATATATGTGATAATTTTCTTAGCATACAATTTTTTGTTCAAAGTATAGTGAGCATAAGTCTTTATTTTTAATTGAGAGGTTGAACGTTCTCTCAAAGACTATTTAGGTCGTTTTCCAAACAAATTCGAATTGCAAAATCCAACTGCAATTATACCAGAGATTCATATTGTAAAGGGATTCTAAATATCATTTTGAAATACAGTTCTGATAAAAAAAAATTTAGACATATCCACCTTAAAAATTTATATTAGATTGGTAGGAAGGTCGTCGGTATTATGTTTAGGAAGGACCCGAGTGTCATTGATTTGGATGCTTTACAAGCCACGTTAACTAAAATGTTCGATGGAACTCTCCCAACTTGTCTTGGGATACTCCAGAAACAAATTAAAATGAAATTGTGAGTATGCATATAATTCTTGTGTGATTTATGTTTTTTTGTGGGTTTTGACTGCAAGCAAAATTAATATATTTAGTTTCTCTTTTTGTAGGCCGTTGGAATACCTGCTAGATAACCATTACTCTCAAATGAGATCTGAAAGAAGGATAAGCTATCGGGCTTATGTTGTTCGCAACATATTGGAAGACTCGGTAAGGTTGGGAAATAAAACCAACTTGCATTCAAATAATGAGAATTGTGCTCTCCAATATTCGTTGCCATTATGAGATTACAATTCTCATAATGGCAAGGAATATTGGAGAGCACAATTCTCATTATTTGAATGCAAGTTGGTTTTATTTCCCAACCTTACCGAGTCTTCCAATATGTTGCGAACAACAGAAGTCCGGTAGCTTATCCTTCATTCAGATCTCATTTGAGAGTAATGGTTATACAACAAGCATTCCGACGGCTTAAAAAAATAAAAAAAATTAAATATATTAATTTTACTTGTAGTCAAAGCCTACAAAAACAACAAACAAAAAAATACATAAATCACACAAGAATTATATGCATACTCACTCATTTTATTTTAATTTGTTTTAGGAGTTCCATAAGACAAGTTGAGTTAGTTCTATCGAACATTTCAGTTAACGTGGCTTGTAGAGCATCCAAATCAATGGCACTCGGTCATTCCCAAACATAACACCAACTATGTTCCTACCAGTCCAATATAAATTTTCGAGATGGATATATCTAAAATCTTATTTATCAAAAACTGTATTTCAAAAAGATCTACAAAACCCCCTTCATAATATAGTGAATCTTTGGTATAATTACAGTTGAATTCTGCAATTCGAATTTGTTTGAAAAACGACCTAAATAGTCTTTGGGAGAACACTCCACCCTCTCACTAAAAAAATAAAGATTCTTATTCACTACTCTAAACAAAAAATTATATGCTAAGAAAATTATCACATATAAAGTACACAGAGTCGGACTTCCATTGCATAATAATATCTTTTATGTTAAAAGAGTTTAAAGATGGACATTGTTTTGACATGAAGTCTTCCGTTGAATACCAAGGTTGGGTGCACATGTGCTTCAATGGAAAAAGAAAATAGCTCAAAAGGTAAAACTAACGATACATTGAACTGGAGGAGAGAATACACATAAAAAAATATAAAATATTTAGAATATAAAAGTTTCACAGAAATGATTAGGGTTCATAGGAAAGTTAAAATTGATACCTTGTTGCTGGGTTAGGGTTAGGGTTGGGACTCTGGATGCAAAATGCCCAGCACAAGCAGCAGCACGCATCCTCTGCTTCAACATCAAGAAACCATATCCAAGATTTAAAAAAAAAAATACAACAAATACACCAAAATTAAAAAAAAATAAATAAATTCCCATATATTCAACTTTCACACTAAAGAAAACGCACCTTTCACAATACGGGGAAAAAAAATCATTACAGAAAAGGCTAAAAAGAAAAAATCAAAATTATTTACCTTGAGTATAAGCGACTTGAAATCTGCACGCAGAAGCCCCAAAAAAGGAACCACAAATTGTCCTGAAATAAAACATAGAACCAAATCACACAATCAAACAACAGATCTAAGGATATAAACAAAACACATAAAGTTAGAAAAACTAAATTGAAAAAAAACATAGAACATCACCCTCTAAAACGAAAAACACAAACAAATTATAGGCCAAAACAACAGATCCAACGATATAAAGAAAATACCCAAATTAGAACAAAAAATTCATGCACAAATCCCACCTCAACATCGAAAACTACCCAAAAAAAATTAAAACAGAATTAATAAAAAAAGTTAAAAACTCACCAACAAACCTTGGAGGTAAGAAATCCACCCTAAGAAAATCAAAAAACCAATCCAATGGGTCTTAAAAGACGACAAATTTGCAGCAACAATTAACTTTTCCAGGGGTTTTAAACGCAAGAAATTTAGACAGATAATTTTGATGAAAAAGATGAGAACGATGTGAAGATCGAAAACGCAGAGAACACAGGTTTGAGAGAGACTAAAACAGGCAGAAAAAGCAACGAAAACGAAGACAGCACGGAAGCAAAAGGAAAATGGATGACAGACGCTTGGAATAAAAGGGGAAAACGGTAAAAAACAATTCAGAATACAAAGGAACCGAAGGGCATTTCTACTGTGCTACACTGTAAGAAAAAGGGTAAAATGGCAAAAAAAATTAGAACACATGGACTGTTAAAGAACAGTGATTTTTGCTTGGGTTTTAGCAGAGGTATAATCCATCCAACCCTAGCCCCTCTTTATATAGCCTTTGTGGAAGACAGCACATCACCCAATTACACGTTTAACCTTCCATTTTCCCGCTATTCTGAGGGCAATTTGGGAACACAAGTTAACGCGTTTAACGCATTTATGGATTGTTTACGTAACCGTAATCAAAATAGAGGAATTGGATTGAGAATGAATTGAATTGAAGATAAATTGGATTAAGGAGGAATCAAAATCGGATTACTGTTGAAGTTGTTTACCTAAATGTTCTGGAATCGGTGTATGAAAGAACTTTAGTTCATATAAGTTGTTTACTAATTCAGATGAATTAGAATATAAATCAATAAGATTACTAAAATGCCCTTATTGTTTTTTATTTTATTTTACTAACAAATATTTTTACATTTATCTCTATTTAATTTTAAGAATAAAAAAACATTTCATAAAATAATTTATTAAAGAGAAAAATAAATTCCAGTGTTTACTAAAATTTCATAGAAAGGTGAAGTCGTTGGGGTACTTTCGGATTAGCCGAAAACCATGAGGATTGTTTAGGTATAAAAGTTAGAATCCAGATGAAGAGTTTCTCCATGAATCCAAATACTAGGTCTCTCCTAACAATTCAAATCCGAGAATTTCCGAAGTGTGATTCAGGATTTTAGATGGGCCTCATGTGTTTTTGATTCCCTAAAATTTTAGTAAACACTGAAATCCTTTCAATCATGAATGATTCCTTTTCATTTCATTCCAACTCTGGTTGATAAACATGTCATTAATTGAGTGAGTAGGTTGAGACTGAGGGACGGCTGTAAATAGAAAAGAAAGGAGAGTGTATTTAAAAATGTGAAAGAAAGCGAGAATTAAAAGAAAGGAGAGTGTATTTAAAAGTGTGAAGGAAAGTGATAATTGATGATGTCTGATTGGTTAGAATCGATGAATAGGAGGGATCAAATCTTCTGCATTCATAGTGGATGTGATTTTTCTGTAATCCTAAAAAATGTTTAACACATATTAAATTTATGACAATAAAATTAAAAAAAGTTAAATAATAAATACGTGTCATACATTTATTAGGCCCACATAAAAGCTGCACCATTTTTAGGTGCAGAAGATTTGATCTCTGAATAAGCGGGGTTTTTTAAATCCCAAATGATATTATTTTAATGGCCATTTGCCCACATTATATCTTATGTTTAAAATTTCTAGACATATGCATGGAATTGGTCTGAATTTAGTCAGATGTCACCCATTTTCAAGGTGCGAAGTTATCATTTTTGCCCTCAATTTTGAAACATGCATATTTTTTCCGTTACAAATCCGAATTAAGTTCTCCTTACGGTAATACATTTATAAAAATGAGTATTATTTGAAAATAATAAAATAAGATTGAAAAAGTGAAACGAAAATTGAGATTCACCTACGTGGCTACTAAAAATAAAATACAATAAATCTCGAAGCGGAATGTCACATATTGAAATTTAAATATTTTTAAATTAAAATGTTTATGAAAACAAATTAAGATAATCTACATGAATTTTATTTTCAAAAAAGTTACCTAAAAATAAAAGGTTAAAATTATTATTTAATAATCTTGGTCTAAAATTTTAAGTCATAAGAGTCGGAAGAGAAAAGCAATTTATGAGTTATGACTTCAAATATTTTGGCTTAAATTTTAAGCTTTATCCTCAAAGATTGGAGATAGTCTTAGGGCTTTTACAGTCAACAAAACAATTGCAAAACTTCACCAATCTTCTAATCTATGCATAAGTTCACGTAATACAAATTCAAAGTCTACCATTTAGTTACTTAGTAATACGGTATAATAGTATTTGGTTTTAATAACCTGTTTGGCCACCATCTAAAGAGAGTTAACCCCCAACCCTAGCCCTATCCTCTTTTGAGCTGGTGGTCTATGTCAATATATATTTGTCAAATCCGTATGCGGACGTGGGTAAGTGGTGGCCAAAACAATGATGCCCTGAGATCCGTTTGCTACTCGATCGATACATATGTATGCATGGAACATTCGTGATAAGTTGATAACTAACATATGGTCCTATCCTAAAGCTAAAAGTACCTGCTAATCAAGGGTTAATATAAGTTATTGAGGCAAAACTTCCTTTTACGACACAAGATAACAATCTCGCTCATTGATGGATTCATGATTCCAACATTGGGGTCTCAATATAAAAAGAAAAAAAGACAAAATTAACATTGAAATGTCCGGTATCGGTGTAAGACCATGATTTTCATCTATAATATTGTTCCATACTTTAATTTCTACACATATTTATTAATGAAACTAAGACATATCAATTAACAAAGAAGGGAAATATATACAAATTAACAACCAACAAATGGTTTATTTATAATATACCCTACTCATCTTTCTTAATGACAAAAAGAGTACAAAATTTTCACGCGTTCCAAATTTAATCAAATTTAATTTTTTAACATTAGAAAGTTACGAAAGTACTTTTGATTGGAAATCTTATGTTAATGTCCTAATGTGAACATTTGAGTCCTTGTTATACTTTGCTCTCTTTGTCGTCTTTTTAAACGGTATGTATATGTTCTCATGAACATATGAGTACAAACGATGCATAAATCAAATGATTTTTGGCAGCAACAAATACAAAATCACTGATTGACCTCTTCGTATATCCGCGCCCCCCTCTCTCTCATTCAACAAAAGTATCCATCATCCTCTTTTCAAAATTGCAATTACATAACTAAAAATAATATATAAATAAAAACAAAAAATATGAACCAAAGATTGACAGAGGAAACTAATTTAAAATAATATATAATTAAAACTATTATCCGTCTTGTTCTACGAGGACCCTACCCCTTCAACTTCTGCAACGACAAGGTATGAATTCTGTGAGTCTCTTTCTGAATCAAACCAACGTGATTTTATGTTTTCTCTTGGTCTAGCTCACCTATGATTTTGCTGCATTCGGTCATTTTGTTGGATCATTTCTCAGTTCACTTAATAACCCATGTTTTGGTTTGATCAGTTTTTGTGATTAGTTATTGATTCTGATTCATATTTTTCTCAGAACAACAGTGATTCTATATATATCGCTATGGCATTTGTTAAAAATCTATCCATAAAAATTATACTTTCGAATACTAGCACATGGTGTGATGAGATTGGTTAAATATCCTATCAGGACTTGAAAATAAAATTATTTTTGAGTTGCTCTTGTAATACATCATATCTCCCATCACACGTTTAACCCTATCATACCTGTATCTAGAGGTGGCAAATCAATCCATTGAATTGTTAATGGGTACTAGTTAAGATCCGTTTAATTTGATATCACTATAATATAGATGTGAAATTGGTAATTATGGTGATAGTGTAAGGTAAAATTAAACTATATAGATCTTAATGGACACTCTTTAACAACTTAATGGGTCGATTTGCCATCTCTACCGGCATCTGTATCATTTGTTTCGAGGTTAAATTGGAAACACGAATTGGTTCGTGTCTGGCCTCCAATTGCAAGATGACACGTTTAAGGAGGCATTTGATTGAGAGATCGTCATCCCAAACCTTCATGTTGTTCCATTTTAACCCTCCCACTCCAAGCACTAAATATCATATTTATTAGTATTAAATCTGTTATTCATTCGCTATTTTCTTTCTTTAAGAAGATATTATTCATTATTCGTGAGTGAACTAAGTAATGAATATATCAACCACATTTTATTACAATGACTTATATTAAAAGTTACGTGTACTCGTTAAAGTTGGCGTTATTTGTTGTTAAAGAGTGTCCTTATAATCATTATATTCAAGACTATGTGCATAGATGTTTTCATCAAGAATGAAGTTTCTCTGACTTTGAAGTATCATGTCAATCCTCGAGTTTTTGTGGAGATGATTTCAAGACTTAAATATGTTCCTTTACTTATCATTGGACTTCTCTTGTCCTCAAATCCACCGTAGGTGTCAGCTAGTTTGGTCAAGTTAGTATTTTACTTTATATTAAAGTTTTTTTGGATAAAAAACATCTCGAATGTTATCTTAAATATCTTCTTTAACAATTTTAATTTATAATAAAACCGCTATGTCTCGTCTCAAAAGAACAAATTATTGAGTCAAAATTTGGTGTTGTTGTCACATCCCCACCCGGGACGGATCACTTCCCGGACCCGCTCCACCACTGTAGCACGATATTGTCCGCTTTGGGCTTACCATTCCCTCACGGTTTTGTTTTTGGGAACTCACGAGCAACTTCCCAGTGGGTCACCCATCATGGGATTGCTCTAGCCCCCTTCTCGCTTAATTTCGGAGTTCCTACGGAACCCGAAGCCAGTGAGCTTCCAAAAGGCCTCGTGCTAGGTAGGGATGGGATATACATATAAGGATCACTCCCCTGGGCGATGTGGGATGTCACAATCCACCCCCCTTAGGGGCCCGACGTCTTCGTCGGCACACTCGCGATCAGGGTTAGGCTCTGATACCAAATTGTCACATCCCGACCCGAGACGGATCACTTCCCGGGCCCGCTCCACCACCGTAGCACGATATTGTCCGCTTTGGGCTTACCATTCCCTCACGGTTTTGTTTTTGGGAACTCACGAGCAACTTCCCAGTGGGTCACCCATCATGGGATTGCTCTAGCCCCCTTCTCGCTTAACTTCGGAGTTCCTACGGAACCCGAAGCCAGTGAGCTCCCAAAAGGCCTCGTGCTAGGTAGGGATGGGATATACATATAAGGATCACTCCCCTGGGCGATGTGGGATGTTACAGTTGTATTAGATAAACCGTAATATTCTTCGGTGTAATTAGGATTGATTAATGAATTTGATAAGTTAAAAAAAAGGGTATTTTCGACAGCACCGCTACAGTACCCGCCTAATTTGCCAATCTCCCCAGACCCAAAATAGGAAAATCCGCAAATCGCCGAAACGCCGCGTTTAGTACATTCCATGGGGGCCGGGCGCAACACACCGCACTGGGCGTTTCAGGTTCTGGCGGGCACGACGAAACGGCAATAGACGT